CTCCCTGCCAGGGGGGTCCTGTCTTGTGGAGGCCCCTCAGCTCACCTCGGGCTGTGGGGGAAGCCCTTTCCTGGTTCCCAGCAGCCTCAGTGGTGCCAGATGCAACGGCAAAGATCCCTATTCTAAAGTGTCAAGTCAGGAGTGCACTTTACTGTGCCGGAGGTCTGCCTGGGCTGCTGGATCCCTCTCTGGGCTCTGCCTGGAGGTGGCCACAAGGGGCTTGGCAGGCCTGGCGTGTGGGGGCTTTTCAGCTCACCTCTAGCTGTGGGGGCAGCCCATTCCCTGGTTCCAAGCAGTCTCAGTGGTGCCAGATACAAAGGCAAAGATCCCTATTCTAAAATGGCGAGTCAGGAGCACACTTTCCAGTGCCCGCGGTCTGCCCCAGCATCAGCTGGATCCCCCTCTGGATTCCAACAGGGCCTGGCTTGTGGGGGCCCCTCAGCTCACCTCTGGCTGTGGGGGCAGCCCTTTCCAGTTTCCAAGCAGTCTCAGTGGTGCCAGATGCAAAGGCAAAGATCCCTATTCTAAAATGGTGAGTCAGGAGCGCACCTTCCTGTGCCTGTGGTCTGCCCTGGCTTCAGCTGGAACCCCCTCTGGACTCCGACTGGAAGCTACCAGCTAGGGCCTGGCTTGTGGAGGCCCCTCAGCTTACCGCTGGCTGTGGGGGCAACCCTTTCCCGTTCCAAGCAATCTCAGTGGTGCCGGACACAAGGCAAAGATCCCTATTCTAAAATGGCGAGTCAGGAGTGCACTTTCTCCCTTTATGTTTTTAAATTCAGTCTAGGAATTCATGTTCCTAAGGCAAAAACTAAAAGCTAAAAATATGAAGTGATAAAATAATTATTCTGAGATTCTCCCACCAAACATAATCCATATTTTTCTACTTATGAAACTATGGTCAATCTACCCTGTCAGCTTAACCATATTTTGAGCTTGTTTTCACAGAAGCAATAGCACTTGACAGTCAACTGAGTCATAAAGCCAGAACCAAGAGACCACTGACAGGACCAAAAAGACAGGAAAAGGAACCACTGAACCACATTCAGAAGTAAGGGGTCCATCCACCAGAAAAACCCAATCATTTGACAAGGACTTTTCTCCCATGGGACAATTTGAACTTTCTGCCAACTCTGCATTCCTCTGTCCTCCTGCCCCCTTTACCCAACAAGCACCATTTCTCTGCCCCAGCCCACCAGTGAAATCCAACCCTTCTGTTCTCCCAAACCCTAGCTCCCCAAATGTGACATAAGCCTATTCGCCTGATTTCGGGGAGGCAGATCTGAGTCCACCTGCCTCCTGCTGACCGAGCTCCTCACTAAAGTCCTTTCATTTCCCAAAATCTGATGGTATGTTTTTGGCAGATAAGTGCACTAGGTAGACAATCCCTTGATTTCTCAGTGATACTTGAAAAACCAAAATATCTTTTTAGAATAACTAGAGACCGGGCCTCCCCAGTGGCGCAGCGGTTGAGCGCTGGGTTGCGAAGCTGTCCGCAGCCTCTGCAGCGCCGGTTCGATCCCCAGCTGCAATCCGGGCACCGGAGGAGGGTCCCACATGGCGCGCAGACCTCTCCTGCCGCCCGCTGCTCCCCTCAGCAGTGTACTTCGGTCCTTCTGCCTGCTCTGCTCCCTGCTCTGGCTCTGGTGAATTCTCTCACCCTCCCGTGCTTCTGACTGTATCCAGCGCTTGTATAAAATAAAAATAAATAAATCTTTAAAAAAAAAAAAAAAAAAGAATAACTAGAGACCAAAAGGGATATACAGATATTCAATTACTAATAATTTTAAAAAGTATTTTGATTTATAGTAAATTCTTTTAACTATTAAAACCTGAAGTAAAATTCTTCAGGAATAAACAAATTCAAAAAAATAGATTTAAATAATGGATGAATTCATTATTTAGATTTAAAGCCTACCAAAAAAGAGTCAACTACTAAAATTTTTCTGTAATATTTTTAAGTACAATGAAGTATACTTTAAAAAATAGTAAAAGCTGAAAATAATAGAGAATAATGTCCCTAGTAGAGAAAACAACACGAGCTACTGAGATGTTTTCTGGGCAGTGATATATCAGCATAGGAAAGAAGTAATTCATTTAGGTCTTTAATTCATATCATCCTATAAATATATTCTTGATAGGTCATAACACAACAGAAGAAAAGAGACCAGCTAAAAGGAATGCTGGGGAGAAAAATACTCTTCTGGGTCCTGGAAAAAATAAACAAACAAACAAAAAAAAAAAAAAAAAAAAGGAGGGTGATATCAGAAAACAGAGAAATATTTATGGATTTTTTTTTTAATTTTCAAGAAAATTTTATAAACCAAATGTTAACATGGAATCAAATATACAGGAATCATATCTTTAAAACTTTCATGGGGGAGAATAAAAATAGTAATTATGATGTGGGAAACCACATAAATTTACCAGCAATAATATATAAGTACCTTGTTAAAAATTCTGGAAAGACATGAGAAACTGCTAATACTGATTGCTTTCAAGAAAATGAGAGAATTGAAGAAATAAGGTAAAAGGAAATACTTGTGAGAAATTGAATTTTGTTGGATACATAAGAAATTGTTAATATTTATTACTTTCAGAAAAACTAGAGAACTGAAGGAAACAAAGAGAAAATACATGTAAGATGTAGAATTCTGGTCCTCTGAAACAGGAACCAAACAATCTGTTGATAAGAAAAAACCGAGTTTTTTATATAAGGACCATGTCACCCACAAATAGAGGACATTTTATTTCTTCCTTTCTAATATGGATAGTATTTTTTTTCTTGTCTAATAGTTCTAGCTAGAACTTCTAGTACAATGTTGAGAAGAAGTGGAGAGAATGGACATCTTGTCTTATTCCTGATCTTTAGGAGTAAGTATTAAGTATGATTTTAGCTATGTATTTTATTTTGTTGTAAATATTCTTTATCAGGTTGAGCAAGTTCCCTTCAATTCCCAAGTTTATTGACTATTTTTATTATGAAAGGTATTGGATTTTAGCAAATGTTTTTTCTTTGTTGAGATGATCATGTGATTTTTGTATTTTATCAGCTTGGTGTATTACATTGATTGATTTTTGTATGTTAAACCAGCCTTGAATTCCTGGTTAAATCCTACTTGGTTATAGTGTATAATCTCTTTTATGTAGCTATATTCAGTTCACAGAGCAACGAAAAGAGTGGATCTGGAGGGACAAATAAAACATATCCAGCATAATTACCAAAGACAGTGCTCTTTTCCCTGTAGCAAAATAATTAGTACTATGAGTGTATACTTTGATGGGTATGAGAAATAATGAGAAATATATAAAAATATCAATACATGGTTCCTAGCCTCAAGTTACTTATATCATTTAACCGAAAACCATGATTTAATTATAAATTCCTGATTTACATACAAATGAGTGAATTGAATCAAAAAATTAAGTTACCTTCTCATATTTAAACTGGGACCAGGATGTCCCAGGTATATTTGATTTGCCCAGGAGTACTGCTCCCTGTATCACATCCACATCCCAGAAGCATCTTAGAGTAGAAGACTTGGAGGTTAGTAGCCTATCATTACATTCTTATAAACAACATTAATTTGTTTTTAAGTTTTTGAGCAATTCAAATCATCTCTCATCCCTAGCTAATCTATTTAAACAAAATAGGAATAATAACAGGGTCAATTTTTTTTTGGTTTCTAGAAGATCATATTGAAGCATGGTGACCTGGGATAAGCAGTCTGGGGACCTTAATAACAACCTTTTGCTCAGTTCCTGGTAGGCAACTTAGTCGTCCCTGATAGGAATCTTAGACCATATACCGCCATGAGGCAGAATGGACCTTCAGGGTCCCATGACTACTGACCCTTTACTCACCCTTGGTGTGCAACTATACAATGTAGCCACATCCTACCTGATCATGTATAGCTGCCAATGCAAACCTACCTGGAACCTTATAGAAACTGAAAGTGTATAGAAGCCCCTGACTTCCTACAGACAGCGCTCAGCCTTGGGATACGAACCTGCTGAGTCAGCATTGGTGCATAAAACCTGCTTGTTGTTAGCCTGGTGTCCACGTTTCCTTTGTGCCATATAACAATACAGTAAAACCCAAGCACTGGGAAAGGGGAGGCCAAAATACTACATATGATTATATCTGCATGTTTGAGTGATATTTATATATCTGTAGCTATATTCCAAAGCCAAGAAAAAAAACTATTTTTTGAAATATGTATTATCTTTAGTAATAGTCTGAATATATAAGCAAAGAAACCTCTTAGGTAGCTGTTGGTTTTTAAATATGCTACCTCTCATTTTTCATGAATGACTTAGTAAATATTCTACATTGAAATTTTACCTGAACAGTAAGGAAAGAAACTAAGATTTACAAATGGGGGAAAGGACTTTTTTAAATAAAGGCAAGGGTCTTGATATATAGTCATTAGTACCCAATTTTGTGCATACTACCCATTAACTTGTTTTTTAATCAAGAGAAAGCTCTTTATATTATGCTTCAATCACTCTCCTAAAACAGAAATAATAGTTCTATTACCAATATGTTGTTAGTACAAACTATTATAAATATGAAAGTGACAAAGCTAGTGATGAACTTCAACATTTGGGATCTGCTCATTGGAAAAGCATCTTTCATCACTAGAATCCATTCTCCTTACTTGTGGCTTCATTTGAAGAAATAACTATTCTGAATACTTTCCCAATCTCCCCAGTTCTTACTATAGGTCCCTAATAAATTGTCAGATGAGCCTCATGGTGAAGCCATGAGTGAAGCCATTTAGTGACAGCATCAGAAGCAATCAGGTGAACACCAGACGTAAATATTACCTATATAAGTCTGGGAACTTCTATATCTTGTTTGTAAGTCTGAAAATTTTTATGCCATACCATTTTACTCTATCCTTACCATCTTCTCCAGGGCAAGGAAAAAACAAAACAAAATCTTCCCTTTCATATTTGGATCCAGACTATATTCCAGGGTAAAATAAGAGACTCTACCATAACAGAATAGAAATTTTTATTTTACAAAGGAAAAAGCAAAAACTGCTATTAAATTGACCCTGAAGTCACACTCTCAATTCATACCCTACAGTTGAATTTTCTCAGTTCATCATTAATTCCACTGAAAACAGACTAAATCTCTGTCTGTGGAGGAAGCATAGACCAGATTTACCCATGATGATGGAGATGGCTAGCAAGATTAAGCAAAGCAAGTGATTGTAGATCTGTTTCAAGTTCCTTTTCTTCTTAGAAACATTCTCCAAGGCCATGTGAGACTCAAAACAAACACTGTGACTGTCCTGGCCAGAAAAGAAGGTAAAAGCTGTGTCACAGAGAAGTGAAGACCACTCCTTTACCTTTATCCTGCGACATCCATTCTCTCAGAGAAGTGTGGCTAAACCAGAATATTCTTTGCAATAGCATTCAAAGTCCTTACTTGGGTTACATCTGTTACTTTTAGAGAATATTCTGAGGTAGCAAGGGAGGCTCCCATGGCAACAGAGGAATTTCTGCAATAAAAATAAAGGAATAATTTTATAAGTTGTTAAATGTGTCCTTATAGTGGTACTTCATTTATAGGCTATTTCATGACCCAAGAACAGGGCAGGTAGGTCAAGATTCCTAGACTACTATATTTTATAATTTTTATTAATTAATTAGTTGAAACACCTAATAGCTAAATCTACCAGACAGCATTTTACAGTAGTTTTATATCTAGAAATCTAAGTTCTAAGGATCTTGCTTATTTTATATCTCATTTTTCCAAACTTAGAAATAATCAACTACTACTAAGTTTACAGATATCTTTGTTAAGTACAAAGGAAAAACACATAAAAATGGCAGTTCTCTAATGGTGCTATAATTTCAAAATAGCTGAAAATAGAGAGCAAAAGTGAGGGAAGACTAAGTATTAAAGGTAGGAGAGATAAAAATGGCCATTATTCTCTTCCATTCTTACACTATAGATATTAACTTTGCAAAAGGAGAGCACAGGTGAATGGGCACACATACATATCTGACTTATTTGAAGATTAGCTGCTAAATTACAGCTTATTAGTAACCAGTTGAAGTGCAGCAATGACTTAAGGATACAAAAGTTTATCTAAGTTCAGAAGAGCCTGTTTATATAAAAGGTAGGGTGAAAACCATTTTGCAGCTTAAAAACTGCAAAAATGACAGCCACACTTACATATTAATCACAACACTCCATTCATTTATCAGGCCATAAACTAAAGTTTTCCTATTTCAAGAATTAAAAATTAATCACATCCCTTTTGTATGAGTTAAAGACTATTTTTTTTACCGAAACTTCATTCCCGAATCTCTAGCAGATCGAGCAGAACAGTGGAATTCTGTAGCACCTGAACCCTCAAGGATCCTTTGTAGATTTCTGTCTGTTATGCCTCCGCCTATTGGAAAAAGTAAGTAATAATATTAACGACAACAGAATTTTGCATAACATTTAAAGAATAATAATGACTGTTAGGCCTGGATTCCCCGTGCTGAAATTTCTCAATGATTTGAGAATTACTCTCTCCATACTAAGCTAGAATGAAATTTAATAAGAATGATAAAACTAGACTCTGCTCTGGAGAACTATGGATAAGGTCACAGAACCTATATGAAAGAATCTTTTATGTCCATTGGTTTATATAACAATGCTATACATTACTGACTATAAAACTAAAAAGGCTTCTCTAGAGCAAGGAAAATCATTGAGGGCATCCCCTCAATTAAAACAAAATCAAATTAAAACGTAAGGTAAGGAGAGATTTGAGGATGTAGCTATAAAAGTACAACCTCAGAGATGTGTCTGAAAGAAACTCTAAATTCTCCCTCTGTCCCAGACTTAAAGAGCACACTGACATCATTGGAAATGGGGATAATGAAAGGGTTTGTGTAGCTTAATCATATCAATTTTTCATTTCATTTCACAGAGTTCCATTTTACTTTATTAAAATTGTACAATCAAGCATTTTAGAACTCATTTGTTTTGATGAATAATAGTCTTTTACATATTTGTATATAAAGAGCCGTTCTAAACAAATACTAGATTATAAATATAAAATTAGTTTATTCACCTTTATATCCTTTTCTCCTAATATATAGGATGCATGCAATAAAAAATTTTTAATGACTGATAAAACATGTACTTTGTATCTCAAGCTATTCAAGTTGTTGAAGTAACTTGGCTGTACATACTCTTTCAGACTCATTAACTTGTTTTTTTTTTTCTTAGTGGTACAATAACATCACTGAGCCCTAAGAAGTAGAAAGAATATAGACACAGAAGTCAGATTTAGATTGGAATCCTGGGTTCACAGTCAGTGAATACTGTAGGTCTTCACAGATATGTGATATCAGCTCAATTACTCAATACCACTGAGTCTCAATTTTTCAACAGTAAAAGAGAGATAACGTTGCCTACCTCATAAGCTTGTTGTGAAGATTAAAAGACCAATGTATTATTTCCTTTCAATAAATAACAAAATATCTGGTCATTAAAATACATATTGCTCAGTTAGCAGCAACTTTAGGATATAGGTAATACATTTTCCAAACACAGATTAACACATCTTGGCAATTGGTACCGGAGAGAGCTAATTCACTCCTTCTTTTAGAAATGAGGAAATTGGAGCTTAAATATGTTTTAAGAATTATTATAAAAATCCCTAGAAGGAAACTACTATTTCCTAATTATAAATAGAAAGCAAATTATAAATAGAAGGAAACTATTATTTCCTAATTATAAATACTCATTAAGCATTCAAGCTGACTTGTCTAGGAAATTTTATTTGCTAACACTTATTTACATGAAATTGTAATAATTTGTTTACAGATCTCTTCTGTGAGCTACTCAAGTAGAAGGCCTATTTCATATTCATCTCTGTGTTTTCATGTCTACCACAGAACCAGGCATATAATTAGCATTTGTGTGGTAAGGTTTGTTAACTTATCACAAATATTTTTATATACACCATCTTCTCTTTAAGACTGTGAGTCTCTTGAGGAAGTAGTTTCTTGTATAACTCTGTATCCCAAGTAATGCCTTAACACATAGCGGACAACTTAATAGTTATATATTAAGCAAAGCTAATCTTTATAATTATCTAAGTCTGGGTATTAGTTCTCAAGATTAAATACATTTAGTGTTAAATGGAAATGCATTAGATTCACTTAAGTATCTTTAACATTCTTTGATTAATCTACATGTGATCACAATTTGATAGATAATAGTTGCTTTCTATCTGTTCCTGTTCCTGGTATTTGCCACAGATCAAGGTTTTTCTAAATTTCCGTAACTGTATCTATATCTGTTCGCTTTTTAAAAGTTGGCCTTTAGGGCCTCCCCAGTGGCGCAGCAGTTGAACGCAGGGTTGTGAAGCTGCCCGCAGCCTCTGCAGCGCCGGTTCGATCCCCAGCTGCTCCCCGGCCACCGGAGAAGGGTCCCACCATGGCGCGCAGACCTCTCCCGCCGCCTGCTGCTCCCCTCAGCAGTGTGCTTCGGTCCTTCTGCCTGCTCTGCTCCCCGCTCTGGTGAATTCTCTCACCGTCCCGCACTTCTGACTATACCCAGTGCTTGTATAAATAAATAAAAATAAATCTTTAAAAAAAAAAAAAGTTGGCCTTTATCTGGCTATCACCATTTTGACCCTGGTCAGTTTAGGTAAGAAAACCACACTTTATAAGCCTTCCAATGTGATATAATGAAGTATATATATCACCCATGAAGTATTCTTACCAAAAATATTTAACCACACTCTAATAAAACCTTATGATGTAACTAGCAGCTTATAGGAAATACAGAGGCTAGGAGGACAAGCTAAACAACATCAAAAGGAAACAATTTGATAATCCAGAAAGCAGGATATTTTTCAGGGTAAGTGGCTCAAACTTTTTAAATGTCATTTTTATAAAACACAAGAAAAACAGAAAACATATATTAGAAGATATTAAGAAAGATAACAACCAACTGCAGTGTGTTCCTTGATCAGACCTTGGTTTGAACATATCAGTTATTTAAAAAAAAATGTTCTTGGACCAACTAGAGAAAGTAGAGCATTGACTGAGTATTAAATGGTATTAACGGGCATTGGTGTGTATTTTAATAGGTATGATAATGGTATTATGGTTATAGCAAAATGTCCTTATTTTTTAAGAGATGAATAAAGAAAAAAATGCCATAATATTTTTAACTTTAAAATACCCCAGGATAAAAAAAGATGAGACACATGGTAAAATCATAAATCTATGGAATGAGTATATGAGTATTCATTATGCTATTTTCTACTTTTTTATATCTCTGAGAAACTTAGTAATAAGAAAAATTAAGATTATATTTGTCTCAATTTGATTCTAGCTCACCTCACTTAAATCTTTAAAAGTTATTTATTTCTAATAAGTCGCTATGAACTTAATTGACCTTATGGTTATCATCAGGAGTATATGATGAAATTGTTCTGGCTACAGGAAGAATTTGGTGATCAGAGAGTTTCAGGAACTGAGAGAGTATTACATCTTTATCCAGTGATATCACCTAAACATATGCTTACATCTTGTTAACAATTAGGACATCCGACCCTAACACAGTGTTGCTGCATCAACCCTAATACACCTCACCATAGATACCATCCATAGTCCCAAAATTATGGGAGAGCAAACACAAGAAATATCCATCCCAATCTACATCCTTATATGCTTCTCTTTGCTCCAGCTTCTGCTAGAATGTTCTCCTTATCTAAAGTTTTAAATTGCAGCATGGAACTTCCAATCTTAAACATTTTAATCAAATTATGTATTCTCTCCGAACCCTACATATTAGTATTTTCTCCCACATTGTTCTGCCTTCTTTGCTTTTTCTCCATTACAGTTCAGTGTCAAACTGGTGAATGGGTAAATAAATAAATACCTGGCATGACCACAATTCTGCCTTTTGCCTGAAAAAAGAAAAAAATAAACAAGTAAATTTTAATAGCTTTCTCTTAAATAGGTGAGAACAGAAACATAAGTATATTTTTAAAATTACTACTACTATTTAATTTTTAACAGATCTTCTATTTTTGGGGGGATCTTAGGTAAATTAGATGTTTAGCATAGTAAATCTCTCAATCCAGAAAGATTATTTTATTTTATTGCTTTAATGACTTATTAATACAAAGAATAAAGTATAAATAAAATGAAAATACTTTATAAATAATCACACCACCCTTTAAATTAATACCATTAATTCTGAGTTCCTGGTAACTAATGGAATAGAAGTAACTGAATTTTTAAGATTCAGTAGAAAAGGAAGAGCAAAATATAATTGTAAATAACTAGGAAAAAAACTACTCAAATCCAGCAGCATCAACTAAATTCCCTAAGAATTATACCAACTAAACACAATCACAGTTATATTTAACTAGGTTTTTTTTTTAATTATTTTTTAAAAGATTTATTTATTTATTTATTATTTATGCAAGCACTGGGTATGGTCAGAAGCGCGGGAAGGTGAGAGAATTCACCAGAGCCAGAGCAGGAAGCAGAGCAGGCAGAAAGACCGAAGTACACTGCTGAGGGGAGCAGCGGGCGGCAGGAGAGGTCTGCGCGCCATGTGGGACCCTCCTCCGGTGGCCGGGGAGCAGTCGGGGATCAAACCTGCACCGTAGAGGCCGCGGGCAGCTTCGCAACCCAGCGCTCAACCGCTGCGCCACCGGGGAGGCCCTATTTAACTAGGTTTTAAGTATATAAATTGATTAAATTTCTAATAATTATGGGAAGCAGAATATCCTTTTATTCACATTTTCATTTCACTTTCATTTCATATTCCATCTCTAAGTAAATTTTGATGTTATGCTCAGTATTACTGAAAGCGAAAAGAAAATCACCTCATTACACAAATGTATACAAATTGCTGTACTAGTGGCAGGTAGGTAACATAGCAGAATAAAAACTAGATATCATGTTAGGCTCACTAATTTTCAGAATAAAGTAATCTAAAATTAAATTTTTCACATGTGGATTCCCTGAGATGAGGTTTTAACACTGGACCAGCCAACCCTGCCACCCTTTATAATTGAAGTCATTTGCCTCAACTGTTCAGCCTATTTATGTACTCAGGGTTGGGCAATCTTTCTCTTATCGAGGGTAACTGAACAACAGAAAAAAATTCAGTCAAGAATCACACATAGCTTAGTTTCTTGACATAATGAAAGAAAAGGCTCAACTAATGTATTCAATAAATATAATTGAAAAAAATACTTAATTCTATGTCATGCCCTGTTAAGACAAGTGAGAAGAGTGAAAAGCTGGATTAGTGTGAAGAGGAAGACATAGGAAGTTGAAGTAAAGAGTTACTGTGTCCAACATGAGAAAAGGAGCAGAGGGGTAAAGAAGAAAGATAGATAAAAACAGAAACCAAAGGGAATAAAGTAAAAACTGGCTAACACCAGAAATAACAAGTGCAAAGAAGAGAAGAGAAGCAGAAAGTCTCAAAATTAATGGCAGTAATGGCAGGTAAAAAGGGTAGGTAATAACAGAGATGGTCATGAATACAGAGAGAAACAACCTTCCTCCTTACTTTAAAGACATATTAGAGATATTTTAATGAGCTCCAAGTAACTATCATTCCAGAAAACTGAAATGATTTCAGGAGGGGGGAAAAAGTCACATTTAAACTTTTCTTCCAAGTGAAAGCTTTCCAAAACATGAACAAATGATACTCCTATAAAGATGAATTTCATCACTTTTTAGTGAGCCTTCCATATTAATATATTATTTAGAACTATATGCTGAACTAAAGCTATCAAGAGGGATTTAACAATATAAAACACCAAATGTCAGACTTTGTGCTATTTCCTAAAGTAATCCACAACTATTTTAGGAGGTAGGTGCTATTATTATGCTAACTTTGTAGATGAGGGAACTGAAGTTTAGGTTGGTTGGGTAATTTGCTGAATGTCTCTGTTAGTGACAAAGCTAGGAACACAAAACCTCGTTTCTAATGTTAGGGGGAAAAGGGGTTGCCCTATAACACTAATACCAAAGCCTATGCTTTAATTAGTATATTACACAGCTAGGTAACTGATTTAAGAAGTCAACGAGAATGATCTCATTTGTATGTTATTTAAAAAGTCAAAAACACAGAAGCAGAGAGTAGAATAGTAGTTGCCAAAGGCAGGGAAGTGAGGGAAGTAGGAGCTATTAGTCAGAGATTACAAAGTTGCCATTATATAGGATAAGCCTAGCAATCTAAAGTACAGCATGATGACTATATTGTAGTAAATCCTGAAAATTTGCTGAAAGAGTAGATTTCAGGTGCTCTCACCACATGCATACACACAAACATGAATAACTATATGAGGAAATGCAAATGTTTATGACTATAAACATTTCATTGTGCATATATATCAAAACATCATGTACACCTTAAATATATGCAATTTTTATTTTAAAAAAATAAGTTAGTGTATGAGAATATTTAACCTAGCTCTTCCTGACAACTAATTGTTGGACCAGCCTAGGGCAGCTGAGATTTGTAACCCCAGGTGTTCTTGGGGGCAGGCACTAAGGCCAAATTCCAACTGCTTGCATCAGGCACTACCCAAGGTGGAGGTGAGGAAGCCTTCTTAGCGCCAAGGTCTGAACTCCATCTCTGACCTACTAAGCAATAGATATTATGAAATGTAATATATGATTATGGCAATTCTATCTACCTTACATCTTTACTCAATAGTAACAATTTAAAGAAGGAAACCTGATTTATCAACTCTTATTTAAAAACACTTCATGTTTCCCCTGCATGACAAGAATAAAATACAAACTCTTAGTTTTCAAGGCTTTGGACAACATTGTCCTCCACAAATTCAATATTCAAATCAATATCTTAATAAGTTCTTCAATATCTTAATAAGTTATTCTTGCTTTTGTTTCCAGGTTTTTGAGTATTTCTTTTGCATGAAGTATTCTCCTCCCCATCTCCCACCCTTTTGCACGGGTAACTACTCAGTGCCCTTTAAATAAGTAAGATATTGCAGTATGGATGTCTTTTTTTTGGGAAGCTTACTATTTCTAAACCCTACCTCTCAAACATGGGTGTTAATACCCTTCCAACGTGCTCCCACAATCCCTGTCCCCCCTTTTTAAAGCATTCTACTAAAGTTGCCTGCTGTTTTATACTTGTTGTAAATTAATTAATCAATTAATTAAATTACAAAGATAAAAGCATCTATTATGCACTAAATTGTAAAGGTAGTAACTACACACACACACACCCCTTGATCACCCCATAGCAAAAATGCCCTTCACCTAATATATATATTTTATAAATATGTGTTAAATTGGTAAGTTCCACACTAGAGAAGTCATATCAGATGCTTAGGCAAAACTTCTGAAAATTATTTCATGGCTATAGAAAAGTAAACAGAAGCAGATGTCTACATAGGAACACTAAATACTGTTATTAATAATAGCAGTAACAATAATCATAGAAGCTAACATGTATTAAGATCTTTCATATGCTAACTAGTATGCTAAGGCTCTTACATATCTTCTGTCTATCATCCTCAGAATCAGCCTATAAAAGAAGTATTAAGCAAATCTCAATTTCACACATGAGGGTACATAGGATTAAAGGTTAGTGATCTATTCAACAACATTACACAGAAAATAAGTGTCAAACCTGAATCTCAAATCCAGAACTCTTATTTCAAAGTCTGTACTCATTAACTTTAAATAACTTTGAACTGGAATCAGAAAAACATTGTCATAGCACAATTACAAAGCCATCTTCAATAGCTCTGCAAATGATGCTAACACATTACACAGGAAACATATTCTTTCTTTCCTCTTTGTCTTGCTACATGGGGAGAGATCAAAGGACATAATTTTAATTCTTAGGATTTCCCTTCAAATGACAGTTATTTCAAATTTTCAATGAGATTACTCAAATATACATAAGCTGACTGAAAAGATGTAACTCACAACTATGCAGTGCTGATGTCAAAGAAAATGTAAAATTTACTATGGTTTCAAGTTAGAACAGAACCTTATGCAATATTTGTAACGTGATCTTACTAACCTTTGTTACTAAAAAATTCATTATTATTAAGAAATATAAATATATTTCTACCTGCTTGCTTCATCTTATAGAGTAACCACAAAGTCAGTAAAATTTCATTTTATTCCCCAGCTGAAAAGCAGACTATCAGAAGTAATCACAGAAGAGTATTGGGAAGAAAGGAACGAAAGTGTGTGTACCTCATCTATGAGTCGCTTTATTAGGGGTAGCCCTTCCAGTGCCGAACTGTCACACCCACTAGTCAATACTCGTTCAAATCCCAAGGTTAAGAGAGTCTCCAAAGCTGCCATTGGATCATGAACCATGTCAAAGGCTGAAATAAATAAAAGTGATTTGCATTTTGAACCCATATCCTCTATATGGTACTTTCCAAAATGTAGTACACAAACAGTAGTGAGCTTACCCTGGCTTGCAAAAGCCACTTATTAAATAACTTAGGAATTTTGCAAACATGATGGCTAATCTACAAATCAACAGATACTACAAATATCAGTGTTCTTTTTTCACCAAGAGCCAGTTTACCAGAACCCTAGAGTCTGCATACCACTTGTGGTTCGCATGATCATTTTAGATACACACATTTGAATAAATGTGTTTGCTTACACGCAGTGTTAAAAAAGAGAGAGAAAACAGGCCTAAAATGATGTCACTTGTGTTAAGCCTACATATTATACCAAGACTTAATACCTAACTTTATTGAAATTTCAGCCTCCTCAAGGAATGTAATGTTATCAGTCAAACCGGAATTTCCTGGTCAACACTAGTGAGGTAATCTGCTTGACAGATCCCTGTCATACCCCAAAGGAAGGTAATCTTACATGAAGCAATTCCTTCTTTGCTTATCTCACCTCCCCTCCCAGCTCCCGCTACCCCCGTTGCCTATAAAATCTTTTCATTTGGTACTGTTGCTTGGATCGCTTTTCCGTCTGCAAGATTGGATGCTGCCCAATTTATGATTTGTTGACTAAAGTCAGTAAGATCTCTGAAATTTACTCAGATGGAATTTTTTTTTTTTTTAAATAAACAGATCTGGTGGCAGTTACAAGACCAACAGAGACTTCTGACATTTTCAGGGATCATGAGAAACACAGGCGTGATACCCATGAGCCCTTTAAGTTCTCTGTCTTACTGAAGGCTGTGGATGGGTAAGTTCCTCTTGGTTGTGAGAGCTACTCTTTCTATGGCAAGCATCTGATCTAACTGGATTTTCAATTATTGGTAGTCAGACTGGGTTCAACTCTTTAGTTTGACACTAGATCACCCACCAGCCTGAAGAAAATTTCCATGCAGTAAGGTGCACTGCAAAAAAAAATCACATAGTCCCAAATTAGGAGCACATCCCTTTTAGGAATTAGTTTGGTTCCAAGAGACCCAAAGGGTTAGTTAAAGAAACAGGATGCTACAATTCCAATCTGCTTATTTTATATCTAAAAACTGTGATCTTGTATGCTGTAGATAGCTATAAAAATGGCAAAATCTTACTAAAAATAACCTACAATAATAATGGCTATTATAGGAAACATTCCAATTAGACAAGACTACTCATTTAAGAAGTGCGAGGGTTCCCAAATTAGAAAAATCAAATGGGATACCTTTTTTATTTGTATACAGAACATCCAAAAGGTTTTAACATCCAAGATAGCTTCATTTAAAAATTCATTGGAATTCTTTATTAAACATAAAACAAGGGTAATAAGTACTTTATCTCTAATATCTATAAGTGGATACAAATGCTGGTATATACTATTATCTTAATCTTTGAATGCTTACTCAAAAGGGCGGAAAAACATTTAATAATTTTTCAAGCATATAAAATAAAAAAAAATTGATTGAAGACCTCTTTCTTCTCATATGCAACAACAGTGCCCCCTGAAGGCAAAATTTATAGTTGTTTCTCCATTTTCCAATGCTTAGCAAAAATGTATGGAATTATAATTACCTGAATTATAAATAGGAAGCATCTTTATATGAAATTATCAGATACCTTTTAGAAATCATTCTGATATAGTCAAGCTATCAATAATGAAAGTAATTTTGTACTCTATGGTGAACACTGATTCATTGACCATCCAGCACATTCTTCTCTCCCCCTTCCTCAAGTATCTAATCTTCAGATAAACATTTTGTATCTCTTGACCTATGAGCCTGAAATTCATCTGGGAAAGCTGATCTCACTTTTAGCTCCGGGAATCGTCTTGTATGGCTTATAAGGTAGTGTATTCCATTTCACTGACCTCGGTGATTAATTCTTAGGGGGACTACATAGCTCCTAAGGCAACCTAGTAAAAATAAATTTCAGGATTCCTGCTTAGAATGCTGTGACAAGTACATGTATTTGAAGGCAATTCTTTGTCCCGCTCTCTATTATATCCCACCATCAATCACCTTCTGCTTTTAACAACTTTTCATAACTGAGCTTCAAATTTTCTAGAAATTGTACATCTCTAAATTTACAACTGTTAGTCCAAGATCTGTATAAAGAAACCAATTAGTAACACGATAACATTACAGAATCATGTTCCATAAAAAGAGTGCTGCATTTTGTAAAATTAGAAAACTGACACCATTCAGTAGAACTTCTAAAATGGAAATGACTCACCTCGGTGGAAAGTGACTGGAAGGGGACGGCAAATAGCTATAAAAAGAAAATTACATAATAACATAAATGAAGAAATCATTGCCTACTATTACATATAGAGTTCTCCATGTTAAGTGGGGATTTTTTTATAGTTTCTTCTCCTAAGAAGTACGGACAGTGAACTAAAATAATAATGACAGCCTTACATATTCAAAGTCCTATGTTTCCACTAATCTCTGAATTTTCTTTTTTAAAAAGGTCATCTATTCCTTAGCACCAAGTAAAAAGTATATGATCTGCAACTACAAGGTTAGCATTATATCTATTATTTATACCTTTGAGAATATTCAAGAAATTCTTGGCCTAGTAATATAGGTAGTTTGCTCCTGTCCCCTCCATATCTCCCTGTCCTCATCTACTGTAATAGCTTTTTTTTTTTTTTTTTGGTGGGACCATCGCCAGTGGCTAAGGAACGAACCAAACTGGCGCTGCAGAGGCTGCAGGAAGCCTCACAGCCCAGCACTCAACTGCTGCACCACCAGGGGAGGCCCTACTGTAATAGCTTTTAAAGTTTTTGTTGTAGTGATTAAAGGAATCAAAGCAAACTTCACGAAATTCAATAGGAACAGTAGCAGGGCATGATCTACAGCAAACTGAGAAGTAAGGAGGGCATGTTACACATATCCTCTGTCCGAAACATCTAAATAACTACTGTTTAAAATAGTTACGTTAGTACAAGTGCCAATAGGTATGACTGAACAATCAGTATTGTGATTATATTTTTCTGTACCAGGAGTATGAGTGCAATCACTATGGCTTCAGACACAAATTCTTACCCACAAGGGACATGCACAATTCTTTGTCAATGTGTCCATCTTCAGTCAATGCCCCAAATACCAAGCCATCAGCACCATAAAGCTTGGCAAGGTGAATGTCAGCCTTCATCACCTCAACTTCACGATCTGAATATAAAAAATCACCTCCACGTGGCCGAATCATCACAAAAACTGGGATTTGGACACACTGCTTCACCACTTGAAGGACACCTATAAGAACAGATAATTGACTAATTAAAATTCAAATGTGAGCTACAAGCTATTATTGGTTTTTCACATCTGCCCTTATGTATTGCTTCTACAAGAAAAGCAAGAGATACCTGAAGAAACCAGAGAAAAATGGACTTAAAGAGAGGGACAAATGAGAAGAAAAATGTGCGTATAAATAGAAGTTAAAAAAGGATTTTTGTTGCACAATCTTGAAAACAGAAGGGTGTTACTGCATTTTACAAGTACTTGTCACCTGACTCAACAAAAATCTTTTTACCAGTTACACAATATCTAAAAGTATAATATCTACCAGGCTCAATGTTTTGCTAGTATCTTCCCTAAGACCTGGTTTCTCTTTTCAAATTGATTACAGCTTTATTTAAAACTTACTACAGAAATGGGTAGATGGTTCTAATATTTATGGCCCATTAATGGACAGAGAAATTTCGTAATGCCTTTTTTGAAAGAGGCATGGAAAAGAAGTAAAATTCTACTTATTTGTTATTTTATGAAGAGCCCCATATACTTAAATATGAAACAATTTTGGCTATATCAAAACCTTTAATACTGTGAGATCTGTGACAGGCACCATTAACTGTATATTCAATATGAATTTACTTATTTTCTCTTGCTAAAAGCTCAGTTTTTGCATGGAATAGCAATATAACCAACAACAAGCAATACATCATGAATGATGGTGCAAAAAACAGATTGCATTCAACATAACAAGATATGTTCTAGAGATTTCCTAGAATGGCCAGGGACTATCCTTCTTTAGTAAGAGCTTACTAAATAATATTATCATCAACCTCAGAATAACATATCTTAGAAGTAAAAAATTCTTATAGAGACTGCTGCTTTTTACCAAGACAGAGTACCAGGAACTGGTACTCACCTACCTGAAATAACCAAAAACCAAACAAAATATATGACATGATGTTTTTCAAAAACTGATTATCAAACAAAAAACTGTAATGATGCCTAAAAGATGGGAAACAAATAAAGGTCAGTTCTATGATTGGTCCAGATTACTACCTTGTGAATTTTACCACCAGCACAAGGAGAATTTTACCACCAGCATAAAGAGGCCACCAGCACAAGGAAAGGGAACCAAACCAAGATAAAACTTAGAGAATTCTAAGTTGAGGAGCCAAAGCTGAGTCCAGGGAGAATAAATGACTAGAACTCACATGAAAGAATATCAGGGAGGTGAAAAAGAAAACTCTGGCGATCTACTAGAACCTCCCTCTAATATTCAGCTGTGTGCTGATCAGTGTGTGCACGCATGCAAGGAAACTATGTGAGGACTGAAAAGAGTTAGAAAAAATAGTGCCTGTCATTCACACAATGTCAGGAATAATGCCTGTTCCCAATAGCTCCACAGAAAACTTTCAAGATTCATGGAGCACTGTTTAGAGTACCCAGAAGAGCCTTACCTTAATAATAGAGAATAATTTGCTCTAGACTGACTCTGTTCCATTTGCTAACAAATTTTAAAAGCAAGACTCAAAAAGGACAAAATGCTGGGCCTCCCCGGTGGCGCAGCGGTTGAGCGCTGGGTTGCAAAGCTGCCTGCGGCCTCTGTGGCGCCGGTTCGATCCCCGGCTGCTCCCTTCCACCGGAGGAGGGTCCCACATGGCGCGCAGACCTCTCCTGCCGCCCGCTGCTCCCCTCAGCAGTGTACTTCGGTCCTTCTGCCTGCTCTGCTCCCTGCTCTGGCTCTGGTGAATTCTCTCACCCTCCCGTGCTTCTGACTGTACCCAGTGCATGTATAAACCAAACAAACAAATAAATAAATAAATAAATAAAAACATGCCTCTATTAAAAAAAAAAAAAAAGGACAAAATGCTTTCAAGTAACCTAATTGCCCAAGAATATTTACCGGAATACAAAAATATCAGGTACCCAACAAAGAAAAATTCATATTATCTGCATCCAACAGAAAATTATGAAACTTGAAAATAAGAGGCATCATGAGGCAATAAGTCAATCAAATGAAACTAGACTAGAACTAGATAGAGATGTTAAAATTATCAGCTAAGTCACTAAAATAGTTATTATTAGTCCAGATATGTAAAAAAGTTAAGAAGAGACATAGGAGATATATAATTACTCTGGGTAATTATATGATTGTTTTCTTATTTCAGTCACTTAAAAAAATAATTGACTTCTTAAACAAAATAACAACTATGTAGTATACAGTTTTTAACATATGCAGAGATAAAATATATGACCAGGACAGGAGAATTAAAGACAAAGGTCTTTTACCAAGGATGTCATAATGCAAAGATCAAAAAAGCATCCTTGAAATTAATGCAGAGCAACAGAACCAATCTTAACAGCAACTACCTAACTCTCAACTTTTTGATGTACAAAGAAAATAACACCTATTTGATCACATCTTTAATTGGTAAGTTTATTTATAGCCATAGCATTTCTAACTGGTATAATACCCACAGCATCATTAACATGTTAGTAACATCAGTAATGGATCTCAATGAAATGGATTTTCAATGGCCTCCAGGCTCTATAAACTCTTAGAAGGAAATCTGAAAACTAGATACTTACCCATGCTGGGTGTTGTTCCTCCTTCCAATAAGCTAGAACATAATTCAATCCGACCAGCACCTTTGATAAGAAAAGGGAAAAAAAAGCATTTCTCAGCACAATAAATTTTTTAAAATGTAAAGCATTGCTCAAAATTCATTAGTCCAAAATAATCTCTTATTAAACAGCAAACTTTAGTCAAAGATGGGAAATTCTGAGCATCTATAATAACTAGGTTTATAAATCTAGGTTTATAAAGATAAAACAATTCACCAGAGGATAAAAAACAAACTTATTATCTTAAAAATCAGTAAAGGAAAAAAGCAATATTTTACCCTGCTATTCTTGTACAAACTGAACTGCAGTATAACCAAATATTTGAAAAGGGAAGTTTTTCTTTACAGAAGTATACTAGCAAGGGCCTCCCTGGTGGCGCAGCGGTTGAGTGCTGGGTTGCGAAGCTGCCCGCAGCCTCTGCATCGTCAGTTCCATCCCCGGCCGCCGGGCGAGGATCCCACATGGCGTGCAGACCTCTCCTGCCGCCCGCTACTCCCCTCAGCAGTGTATTTCATCAGTCTGCCTGTTCTGCTCTCCTCTCTGGCTCTGGTAAATTCTCTCACCCTCCCGTGCTTCTGACTGTACCCAGTGCTTATATAAATATATAAATAAATCTTAAAAAAAAAGTATACTAGCGAATATGTGAACAATAATGTTAGACTCTTCATAGTACCATTTTGCAACCCCTACCAAAATACCAAAATATTCATTGCTAAAATTATTAGGTGAAAAGCAGACAGAAACCTTATAAGGGATGGATTAGGATAATATCTGAAGCTACTGATCAGTTTTAATATCACAAAAACAGAAATAACTAAGATGCTATATCCTTCTGATGGGATACAACAGGAAGTATAAAATGTTATATATAAAGTTGTCTTGTAGAAATTCAAATATAAATCTGATTAGGACTCTGGGTTAACTACAACTTTACAGGAAATACAGGGCTTAGAGGAACGTATTAAATGATACTACATACAGAATCAGCAAAATCTAGAATGTGGAATGTTCTAAAATATGAAAATCAGTTTAACTACAAGGAAAAAAAAGAATTAAAAAAAAAGAAGGGGAAACAAATCTAAAAGACATGTCAAACAAATGAAATGTTTGTATCTTGATTCAAAGAACTATAAAATGAAACTATATGAGCCAATCAGGTAAATCTGAAAACAGCCCTTTTGATGATATTAAGAAATTATTAAGATGTTAGTGATACTGGGTTATTTACATTTTAAAAAAGTCCTCTTTTAGAGACACATACTAAATATCTGAGAATGTAATGACACGATGTCTGGGATTTACTTCAAAGTAATCTGGGGATGCGAGTGGGAAGACAAATAGAGATCAGAGGACAGCAAACTGTGTCCTACAGGCCATAGACCTATAGCTTGTTTTTGTTATGCCCTGCAAGTCCTAAATGTTTTTGTGTTTTAAAGATGTCTTTGTTGACATATAATTTATATGCCATATAGTTAACCCATTTAAAGTGTACAAATCAGTGGTTTTAGTATATTCATAGTTTTGTAACTATCACCACAATCAACTTGTGAACATTTCATTACCCAAAAAAGAAACCTCATGCCCTTTAGCAGCCATCCTTGCTTGTCCCTATATCCCTCAGTCCTAACCACTATTCTATTTTCTATCTCCATAAATTTGCCTCTTCTGAATATGTCATATATAAATGGAATTATACAATACGTGGTATTATGTCACGGTTTTCCACTTAGAATGTTTCAAAATACATCCATGTTGTAGCATGTATCAGTACTTCATTCTTTTTTTATTGCCAAATTAAGAATGGCTTTTAGGGCCTCCTGGTGGCGCAGCGGTTGAGCGCTGGGTTGCGAAGCTGCCCGCGGCCTCTGCGGCGCCGGTTCGATCCCCGGCTGCTCCCCGGCCACCAGAGGAGGGTCCCACATGGTGCGCAGACCTCTCCTGCCGCCCGCTGCTCCCCTCAGCAGTGTACTTTGGTCCTTCTGCCTGCTCTGCTCCCTGCTCTGGCTCTGGTGAATTCTCTCACCCTCCCGTGCTTCTGACTGTACCCAGTGCATGTATAAACAAAACAAACAAACAAACAAATAAATAAATAAACATGCCTCTATTAAAAAAAAAAAAAGAATGGCTTTTATATTTTCAAAGGGCTATTAGGGGCCTCCCTGGTGGCACAGGCGGATGAAGCTGTCCATAGCCTCTGTAGTGTGGATTTGATCCCGGCCTGCCGACGAGAATCCCACATAGCGCGGCAGATCTCTCCTGTCTCGCCCACTGCTCCCCTCAGCAGTGTATTTTGTCAATTTGCCTGTTCTGTTCCCCACTCTGTCTCTGGTGAATCCTCTCACCCTCCCGCGCATCTGGCTTGTACCCTGGTTCTTCTAGAAATAAATAAATCTTTAAAAAATATACATATATACATATATATATGTATCCTACAAAGACCAAACATGAGCAGTAAAGCAGGAAAAAAAAACAAAAACTATTACTCTTTTCAAAATAAGTTGCTAGCCCTGATAATTGGCCATGTACTTAAATGATTGAAGCTCAGTGACGGGCATGTGGGAACTTATTTTATTATTCTATTTTTGTGTATGTTTGAAATTTGGACATTTTTTAAAATTTCTGATTCTGAGATGACGGGAATATCTATGTTTCCTGTTAAAGCCAATTTAGAGCATAAAAGAAACCTTGACGTAAAAATAAATGCTCAAGGGCCTCCCCGATGGCGCAGCGGTTGAGCGCTGGGTTGCGAAGCTGCTCGCAGCCTCTGCAGCGCCAGTTCGATCCCCGGCTGCTCCCCGGCCACCAGAGGAGGGTCCCACATGGCGCGCAGACCTCTCCTGCTGCCCACTGCTCCCCTCAGCAGTGTACTTCGGTCCTTCTGCCTGCTCTGCTCCACGCTCTGGCTCTGGTGAATTCTCTCACCCTCCCGCGCTTCTGACTGTACCCAGTGCTTGCATAAATAAATAAATAAATAAATAAATAAATCTTTAAAAATTGAATAAATAAATGCTCAAAAAAAAAAAAAAGACAGGGGCCTCCCTGGTGGCGCAAGATGTTAAGTGTCAGCACTATGAAGCAATCCGCGGCTACTGCAGCATGAGTTTGATCCTCAGCCAGGGATGTGACCCAAATGGCAAAGCAGAACTCTCCTGTCTCACCTGCTGCTCCCCTCAGCAGTGTATTTCAGTCAGTCGGCCTGTTCTGCTCCCTACTGTCTCTGGCGAATGCTCTCACCCCTGCACCTCTAGCCTGTACCCCAGTTCTTGTATGCATTAAAAAAGACAATGATAAAAGCCCTAATGATGAAATGGCAACACATTCCTAAACTCAGCTTTAAATCAATAGCCTGAAAAATATTTTTAACTCTTTGATAAACTCAATAAAAAAATTAGGTTGATAAAGAAATATCACTATGGCCAATTGACTCAAAATGTGACCTCTTGGGGTGAATAAGACTAGAAGATGATCATTTTCCAGTATGTTTTCTAGTTGGCCAGTTGCCTTCAAAAGGAATAATAAGATCCTTAGTGATTACATGGGCTCCCAAGGTCAATTCACAGGACCCTGGGAGTCTTATAAGGGTTGCCAACTGTTGTTTACTAATTTCTCTTACCTCCTCTTTCTGCATTTACAGCAGACTCTACTGAATCAACACACACTTCCATGAGAAATCCATTTGCTGCTCCTAAAATACATGGAGAACAATGCAATTTTATGACAGTACTATCCATCCAGACCAATCTACCATAAATATTTTATATTTTACTGCCAAAATACAAATGTTCAATAATAGGCAAATGTAAGGACATAGGGCCAATGAAAGCAATAAAAGCAATAATAAAAAAGCAATAATAACTTCGTTATTAAGTTAATACTTCTAACATGTGCTTAAGAAATTACACTGAGGAAAATATGTACTGAATGCCAAATTAATCATCACATTCCAGGTCAGATTTTTTAAATGTTTCTCAATGCTTACAAAAGGTTTAAGTTTCTTTATAAGGAATACATGTTTAAGAGCTAAGAAAAACTTCAAATCTTGGCCCTATCGCTTAGTTGTGTGATCCTAGACAAGTTACTTAGCCTGTTTTCTACAGAGCAGATTTTAGCACCTACTAAGGGATAAAAGGTAAAACAAGACAATTTAAGTACCATGGATAGTACCCAAAGTGTATAAAAGATATTAGTTATCATTTAAAAAAAAACCTACTTGTTTCCTCTATATGCTTCCAGATTCCCCAGTTCCCATGTCTGCTCTTGTTTATGCCATCTCCTTAATCCACAAAGTCCTTCCTGCTCCATCTTTGCATGCTAAAATCTTCCAAAGCTCACAACATAACACAATTACATATTTCTTCTCTCCCAAAGTTAGGAAACTGTATCTTCCTCTTTTGAACTCTTCATATACACTTCTCTTTAAAACACTATTTTCTATCACCCATTATTGATGTAGATAGATTTCTTATCACTCTTATTTAATCTAAAGTTCCTAAATTAGGGTTTTATGTGAGAAATCTTTATCACCCACAGCAAGCACTGTCTACCATGGTACAAACAGTCACACAATGATTTATTTACAAAAGGTTAAATAATTATAGATTCATAAAAATTATAAATTCATAAAAATATTTATGCTAAAAAGTGTGATGAAAAATTTTGAGTTTTTCTGTAAGTTAAACAGAGTTTTTAAAAATGAAAAATACTGATTGCGTACTTCATGCAACATTACTGAAGACTGTTGGTTATATGATAATGGCTACAACCAGGTAGAATTTGGTATTACCTTTACTTTCTATTTACCTTTCTATATCGCTTTTTTTTATTCTACCCAATAACACTTTTATAATTTAAAGAAAGCAATCTTTAATTTGAAAAGTGAAAATCTATCACCTACTAACATTAAATTGCAACTGTCTTTTACTTAAAACTGCCAGTCCCGAAATGTGAGAGTTAAGGGCCTGTCTCTGCTCTTCACTAAGAGCACGGCATTAATTCCAGGAGTTTCCTGATAGCCATGAGTTATTAAATCAGTCTAACTAGACATCACAGCAGGTACCACTTGCCAGGAGAGGATGGGGATGCATTCCAAGGGCCATGACAAAGGCATCTGTCCTAAGAAATTGTAGGAACCAAAGAAGATATTTGCTTGGAGTAGTCCAGTTAGCTCCGAGGGCCTCTAAGACCCTCTAAAGGCCTGTGCATGTGAAAATTATTTTCACAGAAATACTAATATTTTATTTGCCTTTTTTTTTTTTCATCTCAATTTCTCACTAATGGAGTTTCCAGAAGGGCACCTGACATGTCAGATTGAAAACAGAAGCAGGTATGAGAATCCAGGTATAATTCCCTTAAGCCAGACACTACAGACTTGCAAAAATATAAAACATAGACATTCTTCTGCTTTCTTTTTTTTTGGGGGGGGGGTGCGAGGGGGAGAGCTCCCCTCTTCCCCCATCCCCATTAAAATGTTACTTGTGTTAACAGGCAGTTGATTTTTTGTGGTTATTTTCCAGTTAATATTTTTAAGTGTTTCAATTTCTAATGATCAGTATCGACACACTTCACTTCTATAAACAAAAGTTCTCGAGGCTCTGGATTTCAGGAGGATAAAAGGGTCCTGAGATCCAAAAGCCTGCGACCGTCTGGCTGGGACGGCAGGACCGACGAGGGTGGGGTGTGCCCAGCTCCCCAGCACTTGCCTGCCGCCGCCATCCCCCCCGCGGCCCGGGCTCGCCGCTGCGGGTGACCGTGGCTGGGGGCGCCCCGGCCCGCGGCGGCTACTCCGCGCCCGGCGCCCCACAGTTGCCTCTCCCCGCGGCGACGGACGCGCGCGCCCGAGCCCAGGGCCCGACTCCAGCGCGCTCGCGCGGGATCAGCCGTGGCGCCGGAATTCGAATCCGTGCGTCCGGCTCAGAGCGACCGCCCGGCCCTCGGTTTCCAGAAGTTTAGAGAAGTCATGGCAGAACGGGCCGGGAGGAGCTGGGCAGACTCCTCGGCGGGAACTCCGGGCTAGTAGACCCGCCAGCCGGGACCCCAGCCGGCCGCCCCCTCCCAGCCACCTTCCGCACCAGCCATCCCGGAAGGGATCCGCGCGCGCTTCCGCTCGGAGGAGGCCCCTTGTCTCTTCATGCTCTGCGCGGCCCTCTCGCGCGCGTCTTCGGTTTCCACTCAGTCAGGGTTCTGGCGCGCGTGCCCTAGGGAAGCGCGTCCCCTGGGCTGCGCGCGCCCTGCGCGTCCCCGACGCCCAAACCCCAGCAGCCCCCGCGAAAGTAAGAGGTGCCCGCGCAGGCGTAGTCACTGCTCTCTGGCCGCCAGAAGATGGGCGCAGGCTGCGTAACCCGGAAGTGCTTCTCCTCTGGTGGCGGAGGGGAGACGCCGCGGGCGGTGAGGTGTGGTGGCGGCTGTGCACGGTCCTCAGAATGCAGCGATTGCTCTTTCCACCTTTGAAGGCTTTGGTGGGGAACCCGTGTGTCCGGCTCCTTGTTCCTAGGGCGGCTCCCAGAGCACAGGTACCGCACGCAGCGGACTGAGTCGCGGAAAGGGCACGGGAGAAAGGGCCAGAAGGAGGATACAAATCACGTTTCCGTAGCTCCTTGGAGTAGAAAATACGTTTCCTCGTGCCCAGAGCCCCCGAATTCGGATCCGGACCAACCACTTACACTGTATGGTGTTAGTTAAATTAGGAAATCTTTCTGTACGAGAATTTCCTCACCTGTAAAGGGGGATGAGGACAGCACATCATAAGGTTTTTGTGAGGATTAAATAATTCCGTATACAGCAGCCGCTTAGCACATAGTAAAAGCTCGGTAATGTTTACCCATATACTTGGTTTTTACTGAAAATCCCCAGCTAGCTTAGGGACTGTAACTCCATTCTATAGAAAAGGAAATTAAGGTTTCCTTAAGACGGGATTTGGGACTCTTAAATGATAGTCAGAAAAAAGATCAACCAGTTACTGAATGATTCTTACGTGTTGAAACTGGGAAGTGAAAGATCCAGAAGTCTCTTGCACTGGAAGAAGTCACAGTTCATTCAGTAGTCAAATCTTTGTTAAGGTCTTGTTAACGTATGTGTTAGAAACAAAGGTAGCTGGAGAGAAAGCCAGACTGACCGAACACTGCTGTCCCCACACCTAGAGTTTAGTGGGCATTAGAAACGAATGACCCAGAAGGCACATTACAGTGCGTTAAGGGCTGTAACAGGGGAGGTACAGGTGCCATGCAAGTGACCTGTTGTGGAGCTGCTGGAGTCTGTGAACATTTCCGGGAGAAGGTGATGCTAAGTTCAGATCTATAGTAGGTCAATCAGGGACAAGTAGTGTCCCTGTCAGAGAGAAATCATGTTGAAAGACCCATAGGAGAAAGAAAATAAGCCACATCTAAGTGTAGAATTAAGTCCAGGGGGAAGTATGCAGTCCAGAAGGTTCATGTAGTTTGGGGATGCATTGGAGTGAGACTGGAGACAAGAAAACCAAGTTGGGAGGTGATCAGGGTAATGCAGCTAAGAGATGACTTTACCAGGGCAGAAGCAGTGAAGTTGTGGCCTTAAAGATTGTTCTCTCCAGATGGAGTGGGGTTGAGTGAATCATGGTGTCAGGCATCTCCCCTTTCTCCAGTGTTAATTTGTCTGTCTTGATTCTTAGCATGGTTGCAGCTGTGGGATCAGGCGCCCCTTGAGGCCAGGGCAATACAGCACCATCTCTGAAGTAGCTTTGCAGTCTGGAAGGGGTACAGTGACCCTTCCCTCACAGGCTGCTGAAAGGGTGGTGGGCCGATGGCTTCTGATCTGCAGTGGAACAGTGGCTGGAGCAGTTATTCTTGGTGGAGTTACTAGGTGAGTAATCTCATAGTGAGTCAAGCTATTTGGGTTATCATCAGTGGAAATCCAGATGACCGAGGAGAGTAAGCCCTTAGGCATCATCTATTCCAGCTCTCTCATTTTAGATCTTTAGAAACTGAGGTCTCAAGAGGGATCATATCTGATGCCCTAGAACAGTTTAGGGTTTTATTACTGAGTACCCCTTTATAAAGACTGGCTTAGGTCTGAATTGTTAGCTTTACATTATTTGTGTATATTTTCTGCATACAGTCAGATCAAATTTGTCCCCCAAATTTTTGTAGTTTGTTTGAATTAAATACAAATAAGTTCCACGTGTCACAATTGGTTCATATGCCTCTTATGTCTCTTTAAATCTATAGAGATTTTATAGATTCAGAATCTAAACTTCCCACCCCTCTATAGTTTTTTGTTGTTGAAGAAACCCAACCTATTTATGGAGTTTCCCACACTCTGGATTTTGCTGATTACATACTTGTGGTGTTTAACATGTCCCATTGTTCCCTGTATTTCCTATAAACTTGTTGCTTGGGTAGATTCAGGTTGGGGGCAGGACAAAATACTTCATGGATGATCTGGTGTCACAAATACAAACAGCCATTGATGATGATTGTTTACAGTCATTATTTCATTAATATTGCAACATTGTAATGTTTTTTTTTAACTCTAAAGAGAAACTTTTCCTTGTCAGCAATTTGGTTATCTGTAGATGCAGTTTATATAGGCAGGATAAAATTTTCCTTCCCTTTATTTGCCAAAAAGTGTTTTAGTTTTAAAGTATCATTTATGACTTTGTCTGTGTAGACATATTTGATATATTTAAGTCCATTGCAGCGATGATGATTTGCTCAAATTGTGCTATTTTAGTTAGTGGGAGCCTCTTCCTATTGGCTCCAGGTCTTTTGCCAGGACCCTATTAACCTTTAATTCCTTGCTTTCTAATAAGATGTGGGCTTATCTTGTACATTTTTGTCTTACACCTAAAGTTAGGCTTTATTTTTAGTTTAATTCCTTTTGCTGAAAACTCTTTTGCTATTAATAAAGTATGTGTTCCTCAAATTTTTTCCACATTCCCTGTGGAATGTGGAATACATTCATTTCAAAATACCATGTTATATAGACTGTAATGAGGAAGTGCAGCAAATTTGAATTTTATTGCCTTTAAATTTACTCAAGAACCTAAATGTTTCATACCTGCAATCAGTGTCTTCCCTGTGTAAATAATATTGGTTAAGCATTTAGCGCACATATCTTTGGTCCAAAGTTTGATTTTTATCTGTTAAGGAATATTTATGAAAGAAGCAGGGAGAGTTTTATGAAAACATTAAGAGAACAAGGAGTAAAGAAATTTATATCTGTTTCTGATAAAATTCTAAGGGGAAGAAGAGAACAAGATATCAGAAAAGGAAACAAGGAAATGATGTGTTTCCCTTTAGAGGGCTTAAGTTCAGATCCACTTTGTTGCTGAAAACGATTTATGAGTAATTTAGCATTGTATGTGAACGCACACACAAATTTCTTTCCTATCTTAAGGTTGACAGAGTCTGGCCTCTCAATGGTAGATTGGCATTTAATAAAGGAGATGAAGCCACCTACAAGCCAAGAGGAATGGGAAGCAGAATTCCAAAAATACCAGCAGTTTCCAGAATTTAAAATGTAAGTGTTACAGAAGGTCAGGTAAATATCCCACAGGCCCACTCAATCTTTTGATCATTTACACATTTTGAAATGGTTAGATGCTATTATTTCTTGATATTTGGCTCAGTTATGTTTGGTGAGCTCCCTACTCTAAACCTCCAATTCTGAAATTACCCTGAGTTGGTTGATGAAGAGGGTAGGTCTGTCAGACTTCAAGACTGGGAATGTTCCGGCATTCCCCTGGAAATAAAAATCAGATGAATGTTTCTTCTTTTTGACTTCCCTTTTCACCCAGCTTAAATCATGATATGACATTGGCAGAATTCAAGTTCATCTGGTACATGGAGTACTCACACCGTATGTGGGGACGCCTTGTAGGCCTTGCATACATCCTGCCTGCTGCCTACTTTTGGAGAAAGGGCTGGCTCAGCCGTGGCATGAAAGGACGTGTTCTTGCTCTCTGTGGTTTAGTCTGCTTCCAGGTGAGGTTTGCTCAGGCTGGGAAACTTGAGATGCTCCCTGGGGCTTTCTATTTGGCATTATTTTTAAGGAAGTAATCTTTGAGGAGGTGCAGTAATGGGTAAGAGCATAGATTTTAGTGTCACAGGTCTGGCTTCAAGGCCCATCTTGGCTACTTAGTAGGGCAAGTTATCTAATCTCTGTATTTTCTGTTTTCTTTACCAGTATTTGGACATAATAGTAGGTTGTATGAATATTAAATGAGATTATGCATATAACGTACTTAGCTTAGTGCCTGGAATCAGTAATCTCACAGTAATTATATTTTTTGTTATAGTTTCTTTTTTTTTGATCTTTTTTTTTTAAAACTCAAGTTTTTGTTTTTTGAAGATTTATTTATTTATACAAGAACCAGGGTACAGGCCAGATGTGTCGGAGGGTGAGAGGATTCACCAGAGACAGAGTAGGGAACAGAACAGGCAGACTGACGAAATACACTGCAGAGGGGGGCGTGGGCAAGACAGGAGAGGTCTGCCACGCCATGTGGGTTTCTCCCTGGCCGGCCGGCTTCAAACCCGTGCTCCAAAGGCTGCAGACAGCTTCACAGTGCAGCGCTCAACCGCCTGTGCCACCAAGGAGGCCCAGTTTCTTTCCCATTGTAGGAAGAATTAGAATTTCTTTCCCATTTTGCTTCTTCTCCTGCATTCTGGTCTCTTCGTGTTTTTCTAATTTGCTTTCTATATGGGGAAGTTGGATCCCTATGCTGGAATGGCTGTAAAGCAATTAGGAATGTTCCAAAAGAAAGATTTTGTGGGATGTTTTAGATGATTTTAGAATACAGATGTATATGAGAGATACTGAAGTGTAAATGGTGATTAAAATCACCTAATGAGGGGCCTCCCTGGAGGCACGGAGGGTTGAGCGCAGTGCTGTGAAGCTGTCCGCAGCCTCTGCAGCGCAGGTTCGATTCCCAGCCGCCCAAGGAAATCCCCGCATGGAGTGGCAGACCTCGCTTGTCTTGCCTGCTGCTCCCCTCAGCAGTGTCTTCAGTACGTCTGCCTGTTCTGCTCCCCACTCTGTCTCTGGTAAATTCTCTCACCCTCCCATGCCTCTGGCCTGTACCCCCATACTTGTATAAATAAATAAATCTTAAAAAAAAATAATAAAACCACCTAATAAATACCTCTTAAGGAAAAGAGCTTTGAAAGACTCACACAGTTACGGGGTTAGGTAAGATTGAGAATCTCAAGAAAAAGAATGTGAGAGAAGACACTTAATGAGTATTTGGGCCAAAATGCAAACTTTAAGGGAGAGTATCAGATATTAAAACAACATCAAAATTTCATCAGGAGGAAGATAATTGGTTCATTTAACTTGGAAGTGGTAATATGGACTAATTCGGAATTATGGGGAGAGACAGAAGAGATGAAGAGATAATAGAAACAGATAAAGAATTAGAGATTAATGAAAGTCTAATAGAAACTAGGAGCTTAGGTGATACAGAAGTTTGAAGATGGCAGATAGGGTTATGGAAAAAGGGAAGTGCGAGCCAGAAATCATATCTTCCAATGTATTATGCAAGTGAACTCAAGATAATTAGAACATCTAGGTATGGTGAAAGGAGAAAGAAATGCCCAAAAAGATTTAGTGAAGAGTGTATCTTTAGAAAAGGTGGTAGAGGGCCTCCCCTGGTGGCACAGCAGTTGAGCGCTGGGCTGCGAAGCTGCCTGCAGCCTCTGCAGTGCGGGTTCGATGCCCAGCTGCTGGCGAGGGTCCACATGGCGCACAGACCTCTCCTGCCACTCCCACTGCTCCCCTCAGCGGTGTATTTCGTCAGCCTGCCTGTTCTGTTCCCCGCTCTGGCTCTGGTGAATTCTCTCAACCTCCTGCGCTTCTGACTATACCCAGTGCTTGTATAAATAAATAATAAAAATAAATAAATAGAAAAGGTGATAGAATCCCACTTCTTTGACAAGATCCTAGACTTTGCAGGATATGGGGGCAAAGAGGCCATATCTTATCTGATATGACTAGAACTGACAGTTGTTTGGTTAAATGGAAAAGTCAGATAAAGTAGGGAATCAGAATAATATATACCTTAAACTTTTAAATTTAAACATGTACTTTCATTACCTTTTCTCTCTTTTTTTTTTTAGTGAAGAGCTAAGTTCTCTGACTGTAGTTTAACTTCAAATCTTTGCATCCTCATAAGCTATCACTTTGTTTCATGTTTTCTTTTTTTTTGTTTTTTAAAGATTTATTTATAAATTTATGCATACGAGAGCTGGGATACAGGCCAGAAGTGTGGAGGTGAGAGGATTCACCAGAGACAGAGTGGGGAACAGAACAGGCAGATGGACCGGAGTACACTGCTGAGGGGAGCAGCAGGCGAGACAGGCGAGGTCTGCTGTGCCATGTGGGTTGCTCTCTGGCTGTCTGGGGATCGAACTCATGCTGCAGAGGCTGCGGATTGCTTCATAGTGCGGTGCTTAACCCCTTGCGCCACCAGGGAGGCCCTGTTTCATGTTTTCCTAAAGAGAAGTGTGAGCTTAGACTTAGAATTTGCCCACAAAGCCTTAGAGAGCTTTTATGACTTCCCCTGCAAACTTTTATAATTGTCTATTTCCATCTGGTTTCACAGCAATTGCTTTTAAGTAGTTACCTTTGTCAAGCGCTTCTAAAGTATTCAATCTAATTTTTATAGAAACAGCTCTCTTTTTATTGTTTTATTGGTTTACATAATATTAAATTATTTCTAGCTTTTGTAAGGTTTTGCCCACAGATAGGCTTTTGTGTGCTTTTTACATTTGGCTTTAGTGTAAGTTAATCTAAACAGTGGTTAAATTTGTGTGCATATGGGAATGTTAGACTCCTGGCATGTTGGGGGTATGAGAAAGGAGAGCTCAGGTAATTGATAATTTGCTTCCTCAGAATAAAGTAGAGCAGTTTCAACCTTGTTTTATTTGCTTCTTCTCTTTTTACCTAGGGTCTGTTAGGATGGTATATGGTGAAAAGTGGATTAGAAGAAAAACCAGACTCCCATGACATCCCTCGGGTCAGTCAGTACCGCCTCGCTGCTCACCTGGGATCAGCCCTTGTTCTTTATTGCGCCAGCTTGTGGACCTCACTCTCATTACTGCTCCCTCAGCACAAGGTAAAAGTTAGTCTGTATTGTTACCACATCTGCACAGATGTTGACAGGGTCAGATAAATGGAAACTCTGGTTCTAACAGGAAGTTATATCAAAATGCACTCGTTCCTTTGGTATCAAGCTATCAATGGACCAGAAACTAGGTATAATCAAAGTTTAGAGAAACACTGAACTTTGGGGCTTTGAACTTTACTATGGCAAAGTAAAATGTACGGTTTTGTTTTGGGCTGGAGCAACTCATTCACAGAAAATGACTATGGGAGCTGAATATTTTGTCAGCATTGCTGATTGGGAAAGGTGAAAAGTGAATTTTAGCAAAGTGGGAATGAGTTCCAACAAGAAGATGTGTTGCAACCACTTTACTGCTGATTCTCAGAGGAGGATGGTGACATGAGGAAGGCCAAAATGAAAGTTACTTCTAAACCTTTGGTGGTGTATGAGGGCCATACTGGGTTGTTTGTTCTTTAGATGAGGACCTGCCATTTATCAGGTCTTACAGTACAGTAGTGATCTTGCCTAAAATTATATTCTCTGTGCTAGTTTTTACATTTTTTTGATTTGGTTTAAATACAAGGTATGACTTGTTTTTAGAGGTTGTCAATACTAATAGAAGTTTTCAAGACACCAGGCCCCTCTAGGTCAATTTTTTTTTTCCAGTTTTTTTGTTTGTTTGTTTTTTAAGAGTATTGTTGTAGAATAATCCAATCAATACTTGAAGTAAGTGGCTTGGATCCCAATTAGGACAGTAGGACAGAATGTGTTAACTTACTATCTGTTGATTCACTGATTAGTATCAGAATTTGGCTATAATAAAAACAAAGCCAAAACTGAACTTTCCCAATAATACTAAATGCAAGAATCTTGAATCTAGGCATTTTATGCATTTTTGATACTGAGTATATTTGGTAAATATACTAAATATATTTAATATATTTAGATCCTGCATATATTTGCTAAATATACTAAAAGCACTAAGTATCACATACAACATGAAAACCCAGTTCTGTATCTTAATGCATATTATTTTGGCCATCGTAAAGCATTTTCCCCTTGAATAATACAAAGCACTCTGTTATTGAGCAAGTGCTTATTGAGTACCTATGTGCAGGTGCTAGTCTAGGATTACTGTAGAAAGCAAGACAGATATCGCTTCTCGGCCTTTTGGCTAAGATCAAGTGTAGAAAGCAAGACAGATGGCAGATCCTGCCTTTACTAAACCTACAGGATAGCAGGGCGGCCAGTAAATGTATAAACAAAACACGATCCTGTTGGTATAGAATATCTGCTGTGAGTTTTTAACCTCCTCTAGGTGTCAGAGAAAATCTGGCCTTAAACTGTCACTTGGGTTTCATGGTAGAGAGTTTGGTTGTCTCTCATAGGTCCTTACAATGCAATTTATCAGAATGATTTTATTTTCTTCTTTAGTTGCCTGAAACCCGTCAACTTCTGTGGTTGAGACGATTTGCTCATGGAACGACAGGCCTAGTTTTCCTTACAGCTCTCTCAGGTAGGACTGCTGTCATCAGAGCCAGCCTGTCTTCCTTCCACACTCAGGTGGATCTCTTGCCTAGTGCTTTGCCCTTTTCACCTGAATTTTCATATTTCCTTTCACACCAGCCTTTCATGTTAATGGGCATTTAACTTAATTTCTCTTTCCTCTAATTCTTTGTTTGCATATAGAAATGCAACAGATTTTTTTTTTTTTTAATAGAGGCATGTTATTTATTTATTTATTTATTTATTTATTTATTATTTTGTTTTGTTTGTTTGTTTATACATGCACTGGGTACAGTCAGAAGCGCGGGAGGGTGAGAGAATTCACCAGAGCGGGGAGCAGAGCAGGCAGAAGGACCGAAGTACACTGCTGAGGGGAGCAGCGGGCGGCAGGAGAGGTCTGCGCGCCATGTGGGACCTGCGCGCCTGTGGCCGGGGAGCAGCCGGGGATCGAACCGGCGCCGCAGAGGCCGCGGGCAGCTTCGCAACCCAGCGCTCAACCGCTGCGCCACCGGGGAGGCCCGCAACAGATTTTTGTATATTGATTTTGTTTCCTGTCATTTTACTATGTTTATTATTTCTAGTAGGAGTTTTTTTTTTTTTTTTCTTTTTGGCAGTTCTTTTTCTAGTTCTCACGGTGATTGTGATATATATTCCATTTGAGAACTTCTGCTGTGGATCTTATTATTTTTTGACTTTTGTCTGACTCCGGGACAAAAAGCTTTTCTGTGTCAAAATTAATTGTTGGTCTGTTCTTTCTCTCATTTCCCTTTATATTGGAATGCAGGGGCTTTTGTGGCAGGGCTAGATGCTGGACTTGTTTACAACTCCTTCCCCAAGATGGGAGAATCTTGGATCCCAGAAGATCTCTTCACCTTCTCCCCCATTCTGAGGAATGTTTTTGAGAATCCCACCATGGTGCAGTTTGACCATCGGGTTCTGGTAAGCCTGTCTGGTAGTTACCCATTAGTAAGCACAAGGAACCTCTTACAGGCATTGGGGTATTAGTGAAGCACTGATGGCAACAGTGAGAGGGTAGAGTGGAGATTTTCTTTTTAGAAAAGATTTAGCACCAGTTCCCTGATCTGAAGCTTCTATCCTAATTACCCACACCCTCTCCAACCAAATTCCCTATCTCCACACAGTTTGAAATAAGTAAAATCTGGTTGGAATTGTCAACATGGGCAACTCTGAAAAGGAAAAGAAGTGAAATAGATATAGAAATATGATAGAAAAAACATCCTTCTTGACATTCTGAACAGATGAGAATGAAAATAAGAATTCATCATTTTTAGCACTAACTGGCAACACCACTACCTCCCTCTGCTCACAGGAAAATAATATCCCTCACATGCTGGGGTCAGCCCTGTTTTAGAAATACAGTATTAGAGGAGAGATAAGATTAGGGGAAGGATGCAAAGAATAATTTCAAAATTAAGGGCATTGCCTGGGGAATATCCAAATTATAAGGTGAATAAGGTCATTGAAGATAGAGAGTAGTGGGTAAGTGAGATGTGCTGAAAATTCAGACTTGGGAAACAGGGACATTTAATGGGCAAGCAGAAGAGAAGCCTGAAAGAGACTGGGTGGACTATTCAGAGGAGGACCTGCAGGGTGCTTCTCTGCACCTGGGCAGGAAAGTGCTTAGTGGTTACTCAGGGGTTCTGGAAGAGATATATGTAAAGTGAGTGGAAACGAGGAGGGTGAGACTTTCTCCCTGGCATTTGATGAGACTTTCCTCCCTGCAGGGAATCACTTCAGTTACTGCCATCACAGTGCTCTATTTCCTCTCCCGGAGGGTTCCCCTTCCTCGAAGGACCAAGATAGCAGCAGCAACTCTGCTAGCTTTGGCATATACACAGGTATAAACCATTTCTTTCTGATATGATGATGTTCCCAAAACAAAGTGAAAAAGGAGAGATGATAAAGTAGGAGAAAATATTTTCATGTAAGTACCGTGTGCTGAGTGCACCACTGGAGGTCCATGGAGAAAGTATTTTCAAAATTTATAATAGATAAAGAGTAATAATCAGAAAATAAAGGTTATCAATACTTAATTTTCACAAGAGGAATGATGAATGGCCATGAAATATGCAAAACTGGCCTCATTCGTAAGAGCTAATTAAAACAATGCTTGCCATTTTTTGTCTCTCAGATTGGAAAAAAGATAATCAAGTAGTGGCATGGGTATACAAAAATGGACACCGCCATGTTTCTTGATGAGAACATGGGTTGATACAGCTTTTTTTCGACCCAGAGGGCAGTTTGGCAGTATCTTTTAAAATGTTAGATATAGGGCCCCCTGGTGGTGCAAGGGGTTGAGACGCAACCTATGAAGCTATCCGCAGCCTCTGAAGCTATCCGCAGCCTCTGCTGCATTAGTTCAATCCCCCGGCCAGTGAGGGAGCAACCCACATGGCGCAGCAGACTTCTGCCCGCTGCTCCTTTCAGCAGTGTACTTCAGTCAGTCTGCCTGTTCAGTTTGCCACTCTGTCTCTGGTGAATCCTCTTACCCTCCACACCTCTGGTCTGTGCCCCAGCTCTTGTATGCATAAAATAAATCTTTAAAAATAAATAACAAATGAAATGTTAGATGTATAGTCCCCTGGCCCAGCAAATTGATTTCTTAGTGCTTGCCCTACAGGTATTCTAATATGAAAGAGCAATGGACAAGAAAATTCATTGCAGAATTACTATGGTGGTGAGAAGTTGAAAACAAACTAAATTGTTAAATAGCTATGGAACATACATACTGTGGAATAAGGGCAGCAGTTTAAAATCTTAAGACATCAAGACACACATTAAGTAAAAAAAAAAAGAGCGAGAGACAAAACATACAAAACTGTATGTTTCTCTGTAAATGTGTACACAAATTACAAGTGTATAGAAACTGATTAACAGTGGCCACCTTTGGGGAGGGGACTTGGCGTATGTAAAAGGAATGGGGAAATTTCATTTTGTTTGACTTTTCTTTGTCATTAAGTACATTAACTTGTGAATTTTTTTCATTTAAAAATTTTTTAATGCTCTGATGGGAGAATGCGGAGGCTTGTGTATCTGGTTATCCATGCACAGTCATTCAAGCTCTTACTTTGTGGTTTCTACTTTATTTACTGCTTTCTTTCCTTTATAACAGGTGGGCTTGGGCATTAGCACTCTGCTGATGTATGTTCCAACGCCTTTGGCTGCCACTCACCAGTCGGGCTCCTTGGCGCTGCTCAGTGGTGCCCTTTGGCTCATGAGTGAACTCCGAAGAGTCCCAAAATAATTCTGAGAGGATCAACTTTCTAGAACTGAAACTGCTTTTGAGAGCTCATCAGAGAGCACAAGAGTTGGGACTTTTCTAAGAGGATGACCTTGTGGTTTCCACATTGGTCAAGTCAAAATTCTTTGCCTGATTTTGAGACAGTCATTACATAAGAATGTCATTTAGCATGGGTACTTTTCATGTTGAAAATCAGGTTTAATATAGAGAAAGAAATGTCTGCCGTTTGCTGCTGCTTAATAGGCTGTCTCATATTTCTTCATATTGGCAAACTCTTTGTTCTACAGGCATGAGCTCTGTATCTTTGAGTCCTGATTCTGCCTAAGTAGAAATTATTTATCCTTTTAGGTTCTATCAGGTAAATACTCAAAGGAAAGAATTGGTACACACTAAGTAATCAGATAGTCTTCAGGAATAGTTCATGTTTTCTATTCTCATTTTCAGTAGTGATAGAGGGTAGATTTTGACAAGCTTAATATCTAAATGCAGCCAGATGGTTTATGAATGCTTAAAAAAGGAGATAATTACCAGTAACTACTTGGATTCATCAAGCACTAATCTAGTTTCTCTTGGTAGTGCTATTACATCATTAAGATGAATAGAATAGATTGTGTAAAATGGTTCCTGAAAGGGGTTCCTAATAGTTTTATAGATAAAAAAAATTTATGGTCTTGGGCCTCCCCTGGTGGCGCAGCGGTTGAGCGCTGGTTTGATCCCCAGCCATCGGGCGAGGGTCCCACACGGCGCGACAGACTTCTCCTGTCTCGCCCGCTGCCTCCCCTCAGCAGTGTATTTCGTCAGTCTGCCTGTTCTGTTCCCCGCTCTGGCTCTGGTGAATTCTCTCACCCTCCCGTGCTTCTGACTGTACCCAGTGCTTGTATAAATTAATTAATTTTTTTTTTTTAATAAATTTTATTGTTATATTCCCCATACAATTGCAGCCCCCCCATTCTGACCCCAATCCCTCCCCTCCCACCCCCGCCCCCCTAAATTAATTAATTTTTAAAAAATTTATGGTCTTGATGATGTGGTACATGGACACTCACTCATATTTAAACAGATTGTTAGTGATTTCATGTGACTTTGGTCTCGATATTTCACAAGGCTTTCATTCAACTTTTTAAAAAAATTTTTGTAAGTAATTAACATGGAATGTTACAAGTGCATATCACAATGATTTCCTTATTGTATACATTGTGAAATGATCATCACAATAAATCTATTTACTCTTAGCAGCTTTCACATTTGCAACAACATATTACTGATTACAATCCTCCTGCTGTACATTACAGCTCCTTGACTTATTTTGTAAGTGAAAGTTTGTACTATCTTGATCCTCTTCGCCTATTCTGTTCACCCCTAGCCCACCTTCCCTCTGGTAACCACCAGTCTGCTTTTTTGTCTTTGTGGTTTTAGTTTTGTTTTGTTTGCTTGTTTTGTTTTTATTTTACATAAAAGTGAAATCACTCAGTATGTCTCTCTGACTTATTTCACCTAGTATTATACTTTCAAGATCTTTCTGTTGTTGCATATGGCAAGATTTCAGTCTTTTTCATGGTTCAGTAGTATTTCATTGTGTCTATACCACATCTTCTTTACCCATCATTTATCAATAGATTTTTAGGTTGTTCTCACATCTTAAAACTACTGTGAAAAATGCCGCAATTAACATAGCAGTACGTGTATCTTTTTGAATTAGTGTTTTTGCTTTCCATCCAAAGGTGGAATTGCTGGATCATATAATAATAGTTCTATTAATTTGATTCCAATGTGCAGACAAGTTTGAGGATCACTAGCTTAGGCCCTATTAATCTAGTTAACTTTGAAAATTTTAACCAGCGTACTCCCATTTCCTCCAAATATCTACCCCACTCTTATCTCATTAGATCTGCTATATTGATCCTATGAGTATGCTGATAGGTTATCCACCTCTTCTAGGTAGAATTCTTTAAAATAATAACAGTACAAAACACAAAAAACAAAAACAGACTATTATAAACCAGAGACATACTGCAGGGAATGAGGAGGGAGAGGGGTGGGAAGGAGGAGGGAGGAGCACAGGGGATAGTGGTGATGGTGCACAGGTGCCTTGGGGAAGGAAATTCTATGGGGACTCAATCTGAGGGGGTGGGGGGGAAGCAAATATTGTCTAAAAAATGTAAAAAATGATGTTAAAATTAAAAAAAGTCAAAAAAATTCTTTAATCTGTCATAGGGTCAGGTTCTCACACCATCCTATCCTGATCTCCAAACTAAGGTCCTTAGTAACTAAAACAGCAGAGGTCAGTATAATTCAACCAGATGCACCTCACACTAAGGCTTTGACAGTTTCCACCAACAGAGTGGCAATGAATGAATAGAATAAGTTCAAGTTTCAAGTGTTTTACTTCATTTTTCTTTTATTGTAGATGATGAATAAAGATAACAGATCTGGTTGCATTAGCAATATAACTGTATTATCCCTATCAGCTCCTGGTGAATAGAAAGATTTATCCAAATTATTTTGTTTGCATTATTTCTAGCACCCCAGACATACCAAATATTGCATGAATGAAAATGATTAGATTGATGTCCCAGGTAATTCCTCAAAAATAAGTCATCACATACCTATAAAATTAAGTGAATTTACCTCAATATTCTCAAAGGTCTTTCCATAATTCTGTCAATTGTTTTTCAAACATCAAAGGAAATTAAAACACCTAGCTTTCTTAATCAGTCTGGAATTTTTTTGTCTTTGACATGGATATATGCAATCCATTGTGAGGATTGTCACAAGGGTAATCGTCACCTACTGCCTAAAGTGATGCTGGTTGCAAAGGCCACCACTGACGACCATGACTTGAAGGCAGCCAGTTTATCAGCAGCAGTCCTTCCAGTCTTGGGATGAATGGTAGGCTCTATATTGGCATATATCACGCACATACCCACGTCCCTGCATAAAGGAGAAAGCACCCCTTTCTAATATGCATTACACATTTTGCTCAACAGACTTAGTGGTGTTTATTAGTGACATTTTAAGAACTTCAGCAAAATTATTTAATGTGAAGCTCTACAAAAAATACAGAAGTGGTGCAGTACAGGAAGCCTTTGGTTTTATTAAAGTGAGAAGGGAGTATTTAGGTGTGGATCATAATAAAAAGATGTCTTTCAACACTGCAGAGTCCACTGCTTGTGGCAAAAATAATGGAGACGGCATATGCTTCAGTTCTCATGTGGCATTAGAATTTCAGACAACATACTGACAAATACCAGAAATCAAAGTATTAGTTTAGATCCTTGCTTACAGAAAAAAGGCTTTTAGGAAGCTAACAGCAGTCAGAGCCTTCACCACCAGCAGATTTAAAGGGCTAGACTCTCGAAGGTGCTCTGTCCGAGAGGCTGCCTAGGGAAGTATCAGAGCCAGCTTACACTGAAGAGGAGTGGTGGTGAAGGAGGGGGACGCCACCAGGGGGTGTACGGGTTGTTGCACTAAAGGAGAGCGGCACAGGAGCATGCGGTGCAGGGTCACCTAAAGTCACACAAGCATGGCTATAAACATCCTGTGATTCAGACTTTTTTTTCCAACTTTGATTTTTATAAAAATGGCAAGCAGTGGCCAAATACATTTTAAAAGTAGAAAACCCTTATAGTGTGAGTAAAGACTCAAACTTCCAAATAAATGGGTCTCTTATTGCTCAGACTTTCAGAGACACAAAATAGTCATTAGATGCCTTGTTTCTCCTCAGTACTGACAGGCTGAGAAATAATTATGACAAATGGGAAATGCCTGTTTAATGATACAGGGAATTTTTTTTACAAAAAAATTTTTTTGTAACACCAACAATCTTCACAAGTCTGTGAAAAGCATATGACCCTGGAGGCAGGGCTGAATGTAATAGGACTCTCAGACTAGTATCACCGAAGAGACTAACTTGGGAGAATTTGCAACATCCCTTGCTTAATTCTTAATCCCAACTGAAGTCATATCACATACCATAGCAAAAAGGGAAATTAGACACTGGCTGTGCATTAGTTTGAAAAGAAGGTTAAGGATAGCAAAAAGAAATTGCACTCTTTCTGTAAATAGGTCTGGGAATCGACCAAGAATTACAACCAATTTCCTTAATGAGGTAGATCTACTAGGCATTTATATCTTATATAACTTAGATTGTAACCATCACATGAACAACTTGTATGCTGTGGTGAAGAAAATTGTACAAAATTAAGCAAATTGTTTAAAAGAGACATCTAAAATCATTAAATATTAAATACAGGAGAATAGATAATGGTGAAAATGGGGCTATTTCTAACAACATATTGCATATTTTATTCCCATATGTGAGTAAAACAATCACAGCAGCAGTTATAAAGACTGAGCGTGGTAAGTTGCAGCCAGCTTTATGAAAAACATAATCTTACAAGCAGATTCTGTCAATGAACATTTCACTGTATCTGTCAAAGTGTGTGTGTGTGTGTGTGTGTGTGTTTTATAGCGAACAAAGAAATCTGCATCCAGGAGGCTACTCACTGTGACTTTGCACACATTGCTTCCAGTCTGGGCCTCAATTTCATCAGCCATAAAATCAAGAGTTTGAATCAGAAGACCTTGAGAACCCCAGCTTCTGAAATTAATGTATAATGGTTCCTATTGGAAATTTCATTCCATCAACCTTATGTCAGGGGCCATGGATAAAGTAGGTGACCACTGCCCTGTTGGCAGCCTGGTCTTCTAAACCAAAGGTCAATACTTCTTGCTTTAGAACTGGCTTCAGGTCATCTTGTCTAGTCACCTTACTTACAGATGAGGAATGAACCAGAGAGGACAAGTGACTTGCCCCGGGGATCAGAGCCAGTGAATGACAAGCCAGGTCTACGTAAGTCCAAATCTGCTGTGAAGTTCACTGTTCTTACCCTAGATCATACCACCCACTTGTTTTTCACTCCCAACAAACAGCAAAACACAAAACTAAGAACAGGAGTGTGGGGAAAGGACAGTGAGAAGTATGTTATTTTATTTCAAAAATATATGTATATAATGTCTTAATGCCTTAAAAAACTAGCAAGTGCCAGGCAGACTTTCTGCCCACCATACTTCAATCACCATGCCTAAGGCCTCAGAAGTTAAAGGAAAGTCTTAGGCTGAGGAAGGGAGAGTCTGAACACTTTGGATGACATTTGGAAAATAAAGTTGGTGGAAAGTGATTAAAATTTCCCTGACCAAGGAAAATCAATTCAAGGAGCTAATATAATTTGGCTTAGCATGAACTACAATTTAGTGGATATAATGCCATATAATTGGGTATTATATCTTCAATTTGTTAGAGAAGAATTTAGAGAAAAGTGATGGGTTGTGGACTAATCGAATATATTTCTATAAAGCCACTGATTCGGATTTTGATATTTGTGACCTAGCTCAGTAATAACAAAAGCATTAAGCAGTTCAGGCTTGTTGCTATTACAGAGAAGCCTGGTGGGGAAGATTCAAAGGAACCAGTGGAATGTAAGTTTTAGGAAACTATGATTATTTTGACATGGGAACTACTCAAAATGCAAGAATGCAAGTAGAGATCTTAATTCTTAACAAGCTGAGGGTTAAAAGAGGGTTAAATGGAATGTCTTATAAACAAGAATATTTCATTAGGAAAAAGTAATATATGTAAGTAAATGGCTCTCGGCAGGGATTTAACGACTTGTTTCTAGCTAGTGAAATTTCATTTAAAATTTATTATTCAGGAGTAGTGGGAGAATCAAGAGCAATAATCAAGTTTTTCCAAGGAGTAGGATAAAATTTTTTCCAACTTTTATACCACAGATTTCTGAGAAGTCTTACTCATGATAACAAAAACAAGCCTAGATCCTGTAATATGAAAATAATAAAAAGCATATAACACAAAATAAAAACACTAATTAAATTAAAAGGAATACAGTTATATTGAAAAAAATGATAAACATAGGTATCCTGAGTTTCTCAACTATAAAAAGAACACAATCTGAAAGGCTGTCATAATGATTATCATGATTACATAATAACATTTTTAACAGTGTCTGACACACAACAAACATTTAACAAATGGTATAGCTATTATTGTATAATCAAGATGAAGAATAACTTTGCTAGTAAGCTTTCAAATTGGACTAATTATCACCCCCAGCCCCAAGTCATTTCATTTGGAGCACAATGAACACGATCACTATTAACCAATTAGGTAACTTTTGACTAGATTATTGACTAAATCAAACACAACCAAAAGTAGTATTTGGAAGCCAAGGTGAGGGTATAAGGAACAGTTACCTGAGTAGGCAGCGCCTAGCAAAAACATCGTGACATGATTTTTAAGCAGCGTTCACAAGAAAAGGGCTTGTTCACGTGACCAAAGACCAGTTAAAGAAAATCAATGCAATTAAGAAGTCAAAAATGAAAGGGAATTGCTGTGATATAAGTCCTAATGGAAAGTTAAAAAAAAAAAAATTTCCAAAGGAACTATAAAACTGCAAGATTGTTTTTTACCTAATTTGAAAACAATTCAAGATTTTTCACCTTTCATCTACCAACCACGAATCAGTATACTTTTTATCTCAGTTTACTTCTAAAAGGATCTTGATTTTTTTCTTTTTTATGACGCATGTATTTTCCTTTCTGCTCCCAGTAGGGAGTGTTTTTTATTTCACTTTTTTTCCTTGTAAACTCAGGGACCTTTCTCCATAGTCATCTAATCTTAGAATTCAAAGTCAACAAAAAGAAAAAGATTGCTATTAGGGGCATATTCTTGAGCAGACCATTCTAGATTCCAGGGGGAAAAGCAGGAGTTTTATGAAAAGGAAATCTCCATCAACATGAAGGCTAAAAGGTAGAGGAGCAAAGCCTCTGAAGTATAGTGGACGAAAGTGTAATTACTCTGGTTTTCCTCTCATTTCTAATGGAAATGCTCTCTTTGACTAAGCTATTCCTTACCAAAAGTTCTGAAAGTTGCCAGTTGCCTTATTAACAGATTTATCTATTTATTCCAATGTTTAGAACTTGCTTTTCAGACACCCTAAAAGTCTAAGAAAAAAAAATCCATGTCTCAGAAAAACTATAATTAAGAGCTTGGATTTTATTGCCTTGCCCACTCTCCTAGTACTGTTCTTCCCTTCTTTAAAAACAACCTAAATACATCCCTCCCCAAACTACATATGGATTGTAGCAGTAAAATAAAGGAGCTCTTTGAGTCTTCCTGTACAAGGACTCATAAAAATAGCCCTAGAGGACAGAGACCTAAAACCAGACAAGTCCAGGTCTCTAATCCCCATTACAGTCTCTCCATCTTACAAGCACAGTTAAGGCTCAAAAAGAAAAAATTAATGCCCGAACAGCCTTTGAGGCACATAGAAACGGAAAATTTTTCTATCCTGGTCATACGAGACATCAGATAAGATACTGTCCAAATCTGCAATGGACCATTCACTTGGCAGGGGTACTAACCTTTTAAAATCACATACTATCATCACCAACACTATGGCAGGGATCTTGAACCACACTCAAGATGGCTTCGTCGTCAAGGAAGTAAAGAGTTGTGTTATTTTGGTTGCCTGGAAATTCATATCTGTTTCACTGAACTTCAAAGATCTTGGATCCCTATTAAAGGCTGTGGATCTCCACATAAATGATCTCTCTGTTACAGAGAAAGCAGGGGCTGCTGCACTTGCTAGAATGTCTTCAGCTTTGTATCAAATGTCCTAAGTTTGGTTTCAACCAGGCTTCCAGTGTGCCCAATGCCAAACTTGATGCTTTAGCAAGGGGGGGAAAGTCTACATCCCAGGGATACATCAGACCTCTCAGATAAAGGATTTCTCCAATTCCAAAGCATTCTTCAATTGGACTAAGGTTGGTCCCCTTTGTTAGCACCAGTCTCTCATTATTTAGTTCTCCACAGATTAAATTATAGCTTCTCTCAGAGAAGAGAACTTGGAAATTGGAAGGAATTAAAGTAGATACTAAAGTAGAAATTCCAAAGTCAAATATCCACAAGATCAGGCAAAGCAGCATCTGAGCCAAGAAACTGATGGAATTCAATGAGCAGCAACTCTGGGGCACTCAAGTTTTCTTAATCCTTGTCTGTCCTCATGGCCCCACCTGTACCACCTCTTCGATCCACAGTAAGTCCAATGGAGCTGAGGCTCGAGCGTGCCGGCGGTGAATTCGGCGCAGCCGCAGAAGGTACAAGAAGATGGCCAGTAGCACCACCAGGATGCAGACGAAGAAGAGATAGTGGTTGTAGACAAAAGAGAGACGGAGCCAGCCACCATGTGCCTGTCGGACACCCTCCTGCCGTAGATCCCTAGAGAGGAGTGTGAAGGTGGAAAGTGATATTAATTTCAGAGATAAACAGCTATGCTGATTTAAAAGGTATCCCGTTTCTTCTGTCTATGCAAAACTGCTATAACCCCAACTCCCCAGAGCAAGCAAAGCAGAACATCCCCAAGCCCAGGGCTGCTATGTAAATCCTCCTAGACCTTCCTTTCTGCAGAGAGAACCTCACAGTCCTAGATCCTCCAGAAATGGGACAAAATCAGAAACAAACAAAAAAAAAAAAATGAAGAGGAGGAAGACTAGGTGGCTCATGAGTAATATAAGTCCTAACAGTCGCCCACACCACTCAGATGTGGTTAGGGCAGACCCACCAGTTCCCCATTTCTCTCATTTCTACCACCTGCCTACTTCTAATGGTATTGAGTTTAGAGAAATTGGCACCAAAGATTAAGACTACCTCATGGATTATCTGAAATAATCCAGAGAAGAGAGCACCTAAAAATTATCCCAAATACCTCACAATGCTTAAAAGTAAAACAGCAGGCTACCGTAGCTCAATGGAAATATCCCCCTAAAAGCATCTCATGGTCTGTCCTAATTGTGACCCACTCAAAAGTCTTCCAAGTCACTTGACACGACCTCTAAAGTACTCTGCCCATTAGGAAAGATCGCTCTGTACAGAGAGACTGTACAGACTGTACTCCAGTTCTCTAGTCAGAAATGTTTTCCAGGAGAGCTTTAGAAACATTTCGGATTATCAGTCAGTATGGTTAGTAAGAGTTCACTCCTAAAGACTGATTTGTTGTGGGTGAAGAAATAAACTGAATTTCTGCAGTTTGCAAAGCTGAGAAACAGATTCCAGGCCCGTAATTCTAAACCTTCTTTCAGGTCTCAACACACCTGATCAGTAGTAACAGTTCACATGGTGGTAATAAGGGGAGTTAGTTCGTTTAGGGGGGAGGGGTCACTTGGAAATCCCTTCTGTGCCACCAAGTAACATCTTCTGAGCTCAGGATGCCAGCTTACTTAGTATATTTTACCTGAGTGGCAAGAATCGTGTTTTATACAGAATGGCTCCCAGTGTCCACTGGACCTCGCGGTCATACACCAGCTGGGCCGTCTGCAGGTTTGGGTAGTCATAGGGAAAGTGGAATCCTTCATGAAGGACTTGGTACATCCAAGCCGATTTAAAACACTGATATCTGTGTGACCAAAAAGTGGTTAACATTATCTTAAAAGAAGAAAAACTTTCTTTCCTTGGAGTAATGCTTTCCTTGTGTTTCCGATACGTATCCCCAGTGGGTGTCAAAAAAAACCTCTCTCCCCCCATTTCACCTTACTCACCTCTAGGTGGAGCCAAACTTGAGCCTACGTTATCTTAACATTTACCAAGAGAGTGACAAACAGGTTTAAGCAATGATACTGTGGCAAGTTTTTTTCCTTTCCTTTTCCTGTTTCTCCCCCCAAGCGCGCCCCCTCTTTTGTTAAAGAGTCCTTATCTTCAAAGACCATGCTGAAATATCTACAAATGTGATTACACGATGTCTGGGATTTGCTTCAAAATAACTCCATTGTGGAGTCCAACAAGCTGCCCAAGGTGCCAGCAGAGGAAAGGTGCCGGCTTGCCTCCTCCATCTAGCCACAGCCAGACTGCAGCAGAGCAAGGTCGACCAGCCTCAAAGACAAACAGACTACTGTGTGTGTCAGGAGCGACAGCCCCATGGAAAGGGACAGGAAAACCTGTAATTGAACGTTTTGCTTCAATGCGCCGAGGAGCCAGGTCAGATCACCTGTGTCTCCTCACAAGGAGGCTCTATCTGCAGCCTGAAGCTGTGATACTCAAAACACCTGCCTCACCCCCCCCCCCCACCCAGGGCCCAACCCAGATAACAACTGAAGCTCTCACTTAACAGAGCTTAAGCACCTGGAACTTAATAACAGGTCCAAGCACCCCAGGGGAAGGCTCAGTAGGGAAAAACCAATTCCAGCTTGTGACCCCAGCTCAGCTCTAATCCTCACCCAGTGCTGCATCTAGTGCTCAACCGCAGACTAGAGGGTAAGGCCGGCAGGAGCACACATGCCACATGCAGGCCAATGGCTTGTCTGGGGAGGGGTCACTGAGGATCCCCAGTACACAACACCGGTGCCCGCTGCACAGTCAGAAGCTTGAACCCTTGGTGCTCATTGGAGTTGACCTTTTGGTGTCCTGAAGCCCCACTTCCTTCCTATCTCTTACCCCTGGCCAGCACCAGTGCTCCTGGCAATTCTCCTTGCTAACCACGGGGTTCCTTTGGCTTTGCTAAAATAGTCTCACTATTTGGACCCATACTCCTCAAAAAAAATCAAAATCTGAAATAATCAAATTATCCTTTAGTATAAAATCCAGTCTGTATTATTGCTGACCCTGTCTCCTTTGTAATCTGTCATCCACATTTTGTTTATTTTCTTATATCATTGTTAATTCTTATCCACATTTTAAGGCCACATCTAAGGGAGAAAAGGAAGTTGCTTACTTGAGTCGATGTTCATCTGCATGCGATGAAAAGAGGCCGTTCTTGAATCTCTGCGTTAGCACTGACCAAGCCATGCCACAGTAATCCTGGAACAGCCAGAGAGGCAACTTGAAGCTGCAGGCAAACCTGGTAACTCCCCCACAGCCCCAGCTGTTCCATTTCTAAAGTTAATTGTGGGCTACTAGTTGACAAAGGAAAACAGAAATGGTGTTTTCAACGGCTGTGACAGGGCCTGTAAAATGCAAGTCCCAGAACTCAGACCTCGGGGTGACTCTATTCCCATCACCTTTGGCTCTAGTATAACGTTGACCTGACATAAGGGCAGGATGGCACGGAGCAGGTTCTTGATGACCTGAGCAGACGGGTGAAGGAGGAGAGAGTGCTGGAGCCCTCAGTGGCTTTTGCAGGCTTTTATTGGGATTTTACTGGGTACAGAGCAGGCAGGGGTGCTAGGGGGCCAAGAAGCTGGCAAGCCTCCACGACCCCAGCAAGTCTTCACTCTTTCTGGGCTCTCTGGTGTTCTCTGGTGGTCTCTGCTGCTCTCGTGGTGCTTCTCCTGCTTCTCTGCTTCTTCTGGCATCCCCGTGACACCACCCTCATAAGCCCAGCCTTAGCTCAGATGAATCCCATTTACATATGCCCATACCCTACTCCAGGTGCCCACCATTAGGCAAGTATCTTTCATTAATCCTAATGGCGGGAGGGCAGAAAAGCCTGATATTTTTTATCTTACCCTACACCTGACTTCAGAGAAGGGTAGGTTGAGGACAGAACTAGCCACATCAAAAGACAACCAGAGCTCATTCTACTCTACATAGGCAGACAGGAGCAGACAAAGCAGATGGAACAGAATTGTCAAAGATCTATTCTTGGCCTGTCCCCACATTATGATTCTCACCAAAGAAATCATTCCTTTCGGTTTATTCAATAAACTAACATTTCCTGAATGTCTACCATGTGCCAGCTCCTATTCTTACTGACAGGGGGATCTAGCAGTGAATGAAACAGATGAAAAGTTCTGTCACCGTGAAGTTTATATTCTAGTGGTGGAAGGCAGACAATAACCAAAAGCATGTGCGTATGCACACATACACACACAAAGTGTGTAAGGTGATATAAATGTTCATGGGCAAAAAACAAAGCAGGAAAGGGAATAGGTAATACTGGGGAGGGTTACAATTTCATATTGGGTGGCTGGAGAAGGTGTTGCTGGGAAGATAACGCTGGAGTCAAAGTTAAAAAAAAAAAGGGAACAAAATCATCTCTTTTACCCAAGGAAGACAACATATTAAACCAATAGGGACTTGGGGAAACAATAACTTAAGCCCTTTGGGGCTTAAGGAATTAGAACTTAAAGTTTTAAAATGAAAGGAAGAGTCAGGTTGTGGAGTTAGGGAGCGCTGGATGCCGAAAAGTGGAGATGAGGGTATTCCTGAAAAGAGCAAATACAAACCAGGTATTCTCAATATTTCTAAGGTCTTGCCTTTAGGGGAACAGAACACTACACATACTGCTAATATTATTCTATTGGAAGTCTTCCACCAAAAGAACCCTACAGAATTTTGAGAAAGCAGAAAGTAAAACATAAAATGTTTGAGAGGACAGATTCTTCCCATAATTTACTCTGATCAGAGATATTATATGTATGTAACAACTCCAAGAGATGAATCTAAATTAACATCTGAAAAGCTAGCTGAACTTTTGCCTGTCCAGGTAACTAATGACTTTGGCTTATAAGATGCTTAAGACTCATATATATTCTAAGTGAATTCTTCCTTTCTCTGCATTTAAAAACTTAAACATTGCTGCCACTATCACTGCTTTTTGTAACATTTTCCTAATATTCCATATCATTCCACTTTGGCCTCTTAATAGCACAAACCAAGACAGTGAAAGTGAACTGATGCACCTGTATGACATTGTCTCCTAAAGTCCTTACACATGGGAACACCCAGTGCAGGGAAGAATAGCTGGAGATGCCACTTTTTGGCCACAAACATTAAAACAAGAATATTGGAAAGTTCGAGGAAATACCACTAGCTACCACAGCAATTTTGGACTTAGGTGATGATTTGGGTGACGGGAAAGCTGGGTTTTATTACTTGGAAGGTTCTTTAACTTCTCAAAGTTCACTTCATCATTTATATAATGGGACCTCAGGGCTCCTGAGAAGGACCCAGTGAGCTCATGCACTGAAAGGCCTTTGTACAGTGTCTGGCACAAGTTAGGTGCCCAATAAATGGCTGCCGCTGGCACGGCTCGTCTTTATCATGAACTTACCTGAGCGGCCTTGGCAAACGTCGGCCCGTGGTAGCGGCCACCGATGCGCAGCACGTCCTCTGTGCAGTAAAAAAACTCGGAGAAACCGTAGAACTCGCTGTTGTTGAAGTCGATGGGCGACTGGTAGATGCCATTCATGGAGGCCTGGCTGGTGTTGGGGCGAGCCAGCAGGGGGCTCAGCATCGCCCCACAGGTGGCCCAGTCCCCTTTCCCACGGATGTGCAGGATCTGGCTGTTCCTCTGCACCACATCTGTGAGCCCCACAGGCAGGCAGGGGTCCAGGAATGGGTTGTCAGGACTCAGACCTGTCTTCTGGCCCAGCAGCCTGTCACAATGACCAGAACATAAGACAAAATACATCACTACTGTACCCACCTTCACTAAGCAGCATCTAATTTAAGAAACCTGGTCTAAGAAAGTGCCGCACAGATACCTCATCATCTTACATGACACACCTAGAGGCAAGAGCGGAGTATTACATGCAGTGATTTTACTGAAGCAAATTCAAGTTAGCCCAAAGACGAAAGAAAAGAAAGAGAAAATGTGGCTGTGATCAACTATTCAACTTTATAGTCAACAATGGTATTTCCCAGCGTCTGATGAAACTGGGTATTTGGATCTGCGGTTCTCCATTCTTTATTCCCATTTGCCTCTTAGAAGTATAAAGATCTCACCAGGCTGACTGTAGTTCCAATGTTGTAAAAACCAACTGGAGGAAGTGGAGTTGTAAAGGCTGGGAGTCTCTCAGGGAGGGGGCCTGGCGGGGCTGAGGTGGCAGTGACGGGCATAGTGACAGAGAACAAGCCAGGCTCGGAGCAGAGCTGGGCGGGGTAGTAGGTTTTGATTTCCACCATGGCTGTCACACAGTTCTGTTTTTTTAAAAGTCTGTGCTCACCAAGCAACAGTACTCTCATCAAACAAGAGGTAAATACACAGAGCTGGCCAATAATGGAAATTAAGTGGAGATAAAATAACTTTGCCAACTGCAACTAAGTCTTCATCAGCTCCTACACAGACAGAGGTGAAAGAGTGGACTTCCTGGGAGGAAGATGCACCCACAGTGTGAAGGGGATGGAAATGTAGCAACACAACAAAATGCTTTGGGGAACCTATTTTAAGGTGTGACACCAACTGTAAGGAAAAGAGCAAATCGTTACTGAGACGAGAGAACCATCAAATTTTGACATCTCAGGAAGCACAGGTTTCTCTAGAGAGCAGCGGCTACACAGATGAATAATTCATCTGAATTAGGTGACTTGGCTACACAGCAAGAAAAATCAGTGCACAGGGAGAATTTACAGGCTGGTGAGCTCTGTTCTGCAGAGAATAGAAGACAGAAGGGTAAAAAAGAAGCAGAGAACAACAAAGAAAGAAAATGGAAAAGGAAGTAACAAGAAGCTTGAAATTAAAAAGGCACAGAACAAAATCATGGGAAATGTTCATAGTAACTGTTCTTCAGATGCCCCAGGACCGGCGGGAGTGGCCTGAGCACCACAACCCAAGCAGCATTTATGTGGGTTTGAGAGTGTTCTCAGAATCCCAACACAGTGCTTGGTTTTAATGCATGCATCAGTCATCTAGGGTGCATCTCCCAAAGCACCCTAACCCTTAGTAGTTGAGACTAGAAAAACAAAACTTCGGAGAAAATTTTTTCTTTTACATGCTCCTGTAAGACAATTAAATGCTGCAGGGAAATTACTACAAATAGGACATACCATACCTCTTCAAATTAGTATTTATGAAAAAAAAAGGGGGGAGGGTAACAATTTTATGGTGGCGAACTCTGCAGTCTATACTACTTTCCTTCAATGTGCCCAATAACATAAGTTTAAATACTGAAAAACAAAAGCCCCAGGACTATTACGGCCAAACAACTTCACATGGTACCCAAGTAGAAGCATCAGTGATCAGTGCAGCTGGAGAAACACTGGACTGGCTGAGAGATTAATTCAAAGGTTAATTCTGACTAAGCATGTGTCTCATTTTTATGTGGAACCTGACTTCCTCAAAACACACAACTTCACTGTAAGCCAACAAACATATCTTGACACTTCCACGCAGAAGCAGGTGCTAAGCTACGTTCTACTGCACATTTTAAACCAGCACTAAATTCACCTGACTTGATCCCATCATGTCTGAAGTGGGACATGGCAAGAGGTTATCACAATAAGCTGCTGTACTTTTGATATGAGTTCTTACAACAAGGCTCAGAACTCACTTGCACCCAGATCAGGTAAGAAATTGTTACCCCCCCCTTTTTTTCCCCCAGAAATACTAATTTGAAGAGGTATGGTATGTCCTATTTGTAATAACTTCTCTACAGCAGCTAATTGTCTTAATAGGTTCTCTAAGAGATGCTACCTGCCCAAGCAGAGGTGTTCAGGAAGGAGGAGGAAGAAGAACACATTTATCTTAATAGGATGTGACTATTTCTTCCTGATATCTGTAGCCTGATGACATTCTATTTCAGAAACACAGAAGTCATATCCAATGTACCTGTTCTTGCTAAGAGTTTCATTCAGCACAAGGTCTTCATAGCGCTGCCGGGCATAGTTGCCCCCAAAACCCAGGAAGGTGGTGACATAAACCCTATACACATGTTCTGTGTGCTGTGCATCACAGCCCAGGTTGAACTCAGCCAGCAAGATCTTCGCAGCTTCTTCCTGTAAACAAGGAACAAAGAAAAAAGTAAAAGTTAGCTGATTTCTGGGAAGCAATGACATTGCTAATACACCAGCCTTCCTTTGCTATGACACTCCTGTAAATACCTTGGTGGGTGCTTTTATCTTCATAGTATTATCAAGCAAAGCCAAAGACATAAAATAAGACTGCACACAAAAGAATAAGCCAGAGACTAAATACCAAATTAAGAGACCAAAACCCTGTCTGTAAATTATGTAGAAGGCAAATCATTACAGATGCTATTTTCTGATTTGCCAGTTCTCTAACACTGGAACGTTCTTTTTCATAACCAGAAAAAACATGCTTTGATTAGAAATTTTAAGGAAGATAATCATGAAAACTATTCTATGGCTTTTGCTAAAGCTATTCGAGTAGCTCTACCCTTTGCTGTGACAGATTTGGGGGCTGGTAAAGCTCGATACTACTGCACCTCCAGTGAGAAGGTGCTTTGTTTGGGCTCAATTGATTCCAGAGATGGAATCAATCATACCCCTCAGTTCCTGGCCCAGGTAGATGGTCAAGTCTCATTTTTGTTTTATTTCCTTTTACCCTCATATTCCAATAGCCATCACCACTCATGGGTAACCCTGCTATCATGCTTAATGTATAATATTTGTTAGTATGTATGGCTGCAAAATGGGATTATCGTTTGGAATGTATTTACATTTAATTTACAAAGATGCTATCTTGCCCCGCAATTCCACTCTTATACATATATGCAGGAGAACAGAAAACTTAGTTCCTATGAATGTTCATAACAGCATTATCCTTAATGGGCAAAAACTGGAAATACCCTAAATATCCATTCACTGACAAACACAAATAAGATGATTGTTGCTCAGTCATAAAAAAGAATGAAGTGCTGACACATGCTACAGCACGATCACCCCTGGTTCACATTAGGTTGTGGCAGTCACAGTTTCCTGGCAACAAGCTGTGTATGCTGATGGTAACAAGATTTTGGGGCAGTTTAACATGTCTTATTCCTTGCACGTCGTAGGCACTCAAAATGTCAGTATTTCTTTTTAGTCTCTATGATGAAATTTTGCCCTCAAAATGCATTCTAGTCAAGAAAGAAATATTAGAAGCACAAGAATGGAATCATCAGGAAGGAAAGGGAATAACAATGTTCATTAACAGTGTTCAGGAACAAGGATGTGTCAAATGTTGTGTCAAATACGCTGCTCTGCCATTACGTGCATTATCATGTGTAGTCCTTAGGCAATCCTAGGTGGTAGGCCGTATAACTATAATTGCTAAAGTGTATTAAACATTTATTACCCGTGGGTTCATTTGTTTAATGCTTTATACTCCTGGTGTTGTTTCATCCTTACAACTTTATGAAGCAAATACTGTTATTCTTCACTTTTTACATATGAAGAAACTAAGATTCTGAGAGGCAGCCTACTTAGGAAACACAAGCTAGCAAGCATCGGAAAAACTACTTGGACACAGATGAGTTGTTCTAAGTCCAAAGTCTGTGTCCTTCCTTCTCAAATGGTTGCATTCCTAGCAACTGACATTCCCTAAAAGGTAAAATACCTGCTTTGGAGGAAGGACAGTGGTTGAGGTAGGAACTTCATAAGCAATTTGGAGAGAGGCTCCTCCCATATCCAGGATCCCCACTGTCCGTCTGCGTCCTGATGCCAATTCCTGGGGAGCTTCAGCATCTGATTCTGATTGTAAATAAGGGAATAGAAAGGATCTAGTAATTAAAAATAAAATTTTAAGTCAAAAAAGAAAAAGAGCAATCCCTTAAAAAAATCGAAAACAAACTGAGAGATACTAATTGTATCAACTATGTGTTACCGAGAATTAGTTCAAGTGACTTAAACATGGACTTGTGACTATATGTCTTGTAGAATATATCTTAGTGGAAAGGAAACAAATATCTTAAACCAGTGTCTAGTAGTTTTATTGGTAATAATACTGGTATTATTTTTAAAAACCATTAAACATATACATAGAATAAAGCAAATAAATATTTGTTAGTAACTTTAGAATACTCAGCAAAGAGAAAAAAAGGATATATATAGGTATAAAACCAAGAAATTAAGCAATAACCTTATGATCTTAAATATGACTTGGAAATACCAATATGAATAAATGATTTAGTTTCATTTTTCTAAAAATACATATTTCCTAGTTCTGCCCATTGAAAAGGTCTAGAAGCAATGGTAAACCAACAGCAATGAGCACGCTGGTATCTAGACCACATCTCAAAATATCATTTTCCACTAAAAGAAACCTGGGCTCTTTGAAAACTTGGCTAAGACCAGGTCGAGGACAGAAAAGATACACAAGAGGAACATGAATGCCTTGGTGTGCCAAAGAGCAAGAGAAATGTAAGACTATAGATGGGGTCATGTTAAAAGGGCACGAGAGGCAATCTGTAGGTGCTCCTCGCTGACCAATGATGGCATAATGTGAGTACCCAAACTGCGAGGTGGTATTAAACCATGTTACAGACCCACAAAGATACAGTCATACAAATCCAGAATGTGGCAAAATCATCTGATCAAGAGATGAGGTTTTTTTTTTCACTTTTTTAATGACTAGTTTGAAGAAAAAGAGATGGAGGTAAAATTAACTCTTGAATATTATAGATTTAAAGAGACATAATAATCAAACAAAATTTGTGATCCTTGCTTAGAATCTGATTTGAATAAAACAACTACACATGAGTATTCTTGAGGAAAGTATCTACTGGGCAGACAGTTAATACATGATATTATAAATTGCTAGTTCCGTTAAATTTAAAAATAGCATAGTGGAAACGTATTTTGTTTTGTTTTATGTTCACTGATTATATTAATAATCAGTGTCTGTTAGAAATAATACCAAAGTACATGAAGATAAAAAGACATGTCTGGGGCTTATTTCTAAAAAGAAAATAGGATTAAAATCTGTGTTGATTGTGGCTAATGGGTTTGCACAGGTTCATTTATTATTTACTTTTGTAAATTTTTGGAACTGCCCATGTTAAAAAGTTAAAAAGAAAATTAGGACTGGAAAATGAAACAACATAAATATTTAAAAAGTAAGCAAAACCACTCGAAATTAGCACTTACATGCAACTTAAACCTTCAGCCCTTAGTTAAAGAATTGTCCTAAGAAGGTAATAATTACTCACCATCCTCATGGTCAAATCTCCCCAAAACGAAGTTGATTCCAATCCATGCATAAACCCCTAAGCAGAGAAATACAAAAACCTTCGCTGAATTCTCTTCAGCTGTACCTTACAGGCCCCACTCCCCAGGCCTGCTCTCCCGCTCCTTTTCTTGGGGAAAAAAAAAAAAAAGTGATGATAATATTTTACTCCACACTCTCAGTGTATGAATCTAAATTCATAAATGATTTTATGAATCATTTATGTGATGTTTTTCCCTTTGAAAACTATTTGCATTTTCTAAATCCCTTACAATGAACAAGAATTAATAGAAACAAATGTCAAACAATGGAAATCATGGCACTCTGCTGCTGGGCAGGATGGGATAAGCAGCACGCCCCACAGCGTCTCCCCACCGATGCAATGATAGATACAGGAGGGGACGTGTGTGCTCCCTCCTGAGGATGCTGAAAGAGGATGATATTGGGCACACTGGCACAGAGATCAGAAGTTAAAGAATGACCAAGCCAATAGTGAGTTTCCCACTTTTCCCTCCTTCAAATCTTGCCTGGTCTGGACCAAGTGGTCCAAGACAGGTGTAGACAGAAAGAACTTTAAGACCTTGTTTTCTGTTCCAAGGGAGCAGAGCCCTGAAGGTTCAGAGAGTGGGGGAAACAAGAAACCCCTTGCTTTCCCCCCATTTATCTTGTTCTCTCCTACTAAGCGAGCCTGCAGCAGGGGAGGTGGAGATTGGGAGGTGCCTACAACTCTGAGGGATATAAATCCTCTCTGACCAGAGGAGCTAGAGCCTCAAGAGTTGGGGCAAGTGCCTAATGCTTTTGTTTCTCCCTGTGCCCTCTCCCACTTGGTCCTGGTACCACATAGTCATGGAAATGCATGGCAGAGTGTACAAATTAGAGCTCTGGCTTTCTGACCAGAGGACCATAAAAAAGGACCTGAGAAACCAGAAAATCTTGGGGAGACTGTGGAGAGGAGGTAATAAAGTGATGTATGAACTCCTGGGGTCCCTTCTAAGCTACCCATGCATGGATCTAGCCTGAATGATATGTTAAAGGTTCTGAGAACTGAACTATGAGCTGGAAGTCCCATCTGGATGGCTGGAACCTGCCAAGGGTCCTGATTGGCAACATGGGACAAATCCAAAGTGTAACAGAATCACAGTCCACTGAAGGAAGACAAGCCTGAACTCAAGGCCTGAACTTAACCAGGCCAGCTGTCAGCCAGAATATACAAATCAATATCCTCCTTATGGTTGATGTAAGACCCAGCGTCTCATGACATATTATTCAAAATGTCCAGGATACAATACAATTCCTGGAAATTCTCAGCTCACAAGGGAATAGATGACCTAAAGGTGCCAACCCTGAAGGGACAGAGATGCTGAAATGAGCCAAAATACTGAAACAGCTACAAAATGACAAAACAAGAACAGTGTTACAATGACTGGAAAGACACAGTCTCATTGAAGAATTAGAGTATAAAAAAGAACGAAGTGGAAACTTCAGGACTGAAAAAAGCAACACTGCAATTCAAAGAGGTAAGTCTTTTCCCGTATGTGTACTATAACTAGTGAACATAAAAGATCTTTTTTTACAAAACAGGAACATATTTCATCATGTGGATCACACTTGGATCACAGAAGACATTTTCAAATCTATCCCAAAACTACAAACCCAATTGGGTGAGCTTTTAAGAAAGTATCAATATTGGGCCTCCCTGGTGGCACAAGGGGTTAAGCACCACACTGTGAAGCAATCCGTAGCTTCTGCAGCAAGAGTTCGATCCCCAGCTGGCCAGGGAGAAACCCACATTGCGAAGCAGACCTCTCCTGTCTTGCCTGCTGCTCTCCTCAACAGTGTATTTCAGTAGATCTGCCTGTTCTGTTTCCCACTCTGTCTCTGATGAATCTTCACACCTCCCCCCACACCTCTGGTCTGTACCCCACTTCTTGTATGCATAAATAAATTTTAAAAAAAAAGAAAGTATCAACATTGCATAGTAACTACAATATAGAAAGAGCCCAGAACAAAAGTAACTTATCCTGACTATACCCTAAAATTAAAGTGCCCCCTTATTTTAATCATTTGATTTACAATTTAATTTGGCAAACTCAGTACAACTCCTAGATGTATGTATGTTTGCAAAACTATGGCTAGCTAAAGATCCATTATGATTCACCACTGAATATTAACATATTCTTATAAAATAATATAAAATATTAACACATAGGACAAAATAAAAACAGATATAAAAGTATGACTTCTAGAAGCATCATTCTAAAACAGGTCCAATGCAGGATATACAATAATCAAACTGTATAGCAGGATCAAGAGAAGTACTTTAGAAAAATAAAAATCAGATAATAAAACACCCCTCAACACTAGTGAGAAAGACCCCCAAGGCCCAGTCAGTACCTTCCTGCTTCCCAGAGATCACTTCTGCCTGAGACTGAGAAAAGAGGAAGTCAAACTCCAGGGGTAAATCTTTCACTAAATCAGTTAAGATAGCCAACTGCTTCCTACAAGAAAGAAGAAAAAAATCCAGAAGTTAGTCATTAAACTCTCTTCTCACAAACAGCTTTAACTTGACTTTCTACTTAGCCTGTTATAACCTTACTCTTCACCTACCTATCCCCCACCTTCCCATCCACTTATCCACCTGTTTCTCCTTCGTACCCACTGTGACTCCAAAGGTTTAAACTGCTCCAAGCACAGCTTCCCACTTGAAAGCCAATATGATACTACTTTCCTTTTATACAATGTTATAATACAAGGGTGTGAAAAGATAAGACTGTGGTTTCAAGTCTCTCATGGGTTGAGTATGAATAAGTCACAGGAAACTGAAGCACGGTTTTATGATCTATAAAATCAGTATAATTACATTATTCCTCACTACTGTGAAAGGTAGCTGTTAACTGAGGAACACAATCTCATTCTCACTCTCACACGATACAGAAACAACGTCTTATGTCATCACACAAGAAGCACTGTGAGGTCCATAAATTTTTATATAATCCTTTATATAAGCTAACAATTAATTTTTTAATCTCCTTTTTCATATTCCAAGGGTTATTTTTTTTTCTTTATATAAATGGATTATTACTTGAAAAACCCAGATCAGGATCAAATCCAAAGGTCATAACAATGTTTGGAGCTTAGTATCTACAGGGTTATTTTTCCTTTAAAATTTTATGTTATCAATATTATCAGACAAAGAAAAGCAAAGAAGCAAAGTCAGAAGTAATCATATAAATTCAGAGAAAATTATGGTTAAAAATATGATCAATGACTTGGGATCTTTCAAATTATTTACTATCAAACTATTCTACTAGTTCAGACAGTTGTCAGCATGACTTAGTGAAGAGAGTTCTTAGCACTTCAAAATAATAATCTTCCAACATAATGCCAAGTATAGTTTGTAAAAAAATTCATTGTTAGATATATTAAATTCATGCATGGAGAACACCCTATTGGATATACTTCTAAACTAAAAAAAAAAAAAGAAGGCTTGCTGGTTTTAGTGACAATATGGAAGAACAGATGCCAACATGCATTGCTATTTGGAATATAAGTTATGGGTACAATGTTTCCAAAGGGCAATCCAGGATTATATATCGAAATTTTTTAATGTACATAACCTTAAACCAACCTATTACATTTCTAGAAATCTGTTGCACAGAAATCATCAGATAAAAAATACAAAGAAGAAGAATACTGCAGCATCATTTATAACAATGAAAACCCAGAAATAACCTAAACATATGCTAGAAGGAATTGGTTAAACAATTTACCGTATATCCACACAATGAATGGTAACACTATACTGATGATAAAAGAAATGAGGTCAACTTATAGCTACATGTACTGTTAAATCCCAATTCATGTTAAAACAAAACACTTCACATACTGTACAGAAGATAGAACTCTCATTTTCTAAAATTCAATCTTGTTTTAATTGAATTGATTTGTTTGATTCAAATCTTAAAAGTTTTACAAAAAACTTTTAAGGAAAGCTTTTTTTTTTTTTTAATAGAGGCATGTTTTATTTATTTATTTGTTTGTTTGTTTGTTTTATACATGCACTGGGTACAGTCAGAAGTGCGGGAGGGTGAGAGAATTCACCAGAGCCAGAGCGGGGAGAACAGCAGGCAGAAGGACTGAAGTACACTGCTGAGGGGAGCAGCGGGCGGCAGGAGAGGTCTGCGCGCCATGGGGGACCCTCCTCCGGTGGCCGGGGAGCAGCCGGGGATCAAACCGGCGCTGCAGAGGCTGCAGGCAGCTTCGCAACCCAGCGCTCAACCGCTGCGCCACCAGGGAGGCCCTGTTACAAAAAACTTTTAAGAGCAAAACATTGGCATTATAAAAAGCTGGGTAGCTAATTCATTACTTCATTCTCTACTTTTATATACACTTGAAATTCCCCATATAAAAAAATTTTTTTTTTTCTTAAAAAGCACCTTGTATGGATTACCTTTGTAACTTTTTAGGATTTTTTCCCATTACAAAATAAAAAGGAGGTGGAACAAACTCTGTTAATCCAGGCCTTTGGCAAAGAAATACGACCTAGTGCTAATAAATTCAAAACACAATGATTCAAAACCATTTTGAATATTGCTCACAATTGCAAATAAATTAGCCAAGCACTAATTATACAAAACAGGTCTTTGCAAAGATAGTCAGGCTTGGGCCTCCCCGGTGGCGCAGCGGTTGAGCTCTGGGTTGCGAAGCTGCCCGCAGCCTCTGCAGCGCTGGTTCGATCCCTGGCTGCTCCCCGGCCACTGGAGGAGGGTCCCACATGGCACGCAGACCTCTCCTGCCGCCCGCTGCTCCCCTCAGCAGTGTACTTCGGTCCTTCTGCCTGCTCTGCAACCCGCTCTGGCTCTGGTGAATTCTCTCACCCTCCCGCGCTTCTGACTGTACCCAGTGCTTGTATAAATAAATAAATAAATCTTAAAAAAAAAGAAAAAAAAAAGATAGTCAGGCTTATGCCAACCACTACAGTTGCCTTAGAGGCAGCAGTGATTTCATTAGCACAGGATACAGCAAGGTGTTATTAAGAGAGGTGTTCAGAATACAATGAAAAGTCAAGTTCTTGCAAAATTCTTAAGACAAAATAAAAATTAATAACCAGAGCTTCCTCGTTGATAGCAATTATCTTAAACAAATGGGGCAGAGTTACGAGGTGGATTTTGGTTGAGCAGGAACATGACAGAGGCAATGCTGGACAGTGCCAGGAAATGAGGCAATCCTCGCCTCTGCTCCAGACGCAGCAAATGTGGTAGGCTGCTGACCTGGCTCCTGCACCCACCCTGCTGACTGACTCCGTCTTTCTGAACCCCAGGTCAGCTTTGCCTCTGGTACTTGCTGCTTCCTTGGTCCTGAGACCTCAGGCTACTCACAGACCCAGGAGGGTGGCACCACCTGTGTCATCCCAGGCTTTCCAAGATTCTGGACCCGAGTATTACTCATGTCAAAAACAAAAATGCTAAACTGTGTGAGCTATGTGACTGCAAATTCATGGAGATGACATACAGATGTAGAAAGAAGAAAATGCCACTGAATCAACCAGTTTTGAGAAGGTAGTAGGATGGCAAGGTTTTTTGTTTGTTTACATTTAAGGTTTCTTTAATGGTGTAAGGTTGCAGTTGCAACATTTGAGGTTTGGTTTTCTTAAAAAGAAAGTAAAAACAAAACAAAAATATTATATATAAGACAAAATATATAGGTATATATAGGCATGAAGACAAAAAAATATAGAGATATATGAGAAAAGGAGCAAGGTGCCTCTCCTGTTGGCCAATGGCTTTATAAAAACACCCACTTTTCAACAGCAAGCTAGACAGCACACCGGCAACTGTGTGCAGAAGCCAAAGGAAAGAAAGAAGAGGGGTCAGGTGGCAAGATGCCAGGCTGACTGCCAGGGTCAAGTGGAAAAGACTTGATTGGCTGGGCTGACATATTGGTCTAAAAATAATGGAGACTGCTTTGCAAATAACACCAACAATCACCAAGAAGCCAGACAAACTTAGAGAAAAAGCAGCTTCCCTACTAGCCCCACAAGTACCCAGTCTCTCAGTGTACCTTCCTAAAACCCTTCCATAATTAAGCTCCCCCTCTAGGTGCCTCACGCTCCAAATTTATCAGCATCACCACTGCTCCCAGCCCTCAATCAACACTTAAAATCATTACAAACATCGCACAGAGAGACTGATCCCAAAGAAACAAATGACATGAAGGCATGAATGACTTATTACGCACATGGAGGAGCAACTGGCCTATTTTTGAGCAAGGAGTCTGTTAGTGCCACCTGTCCACGCTGTGTGGTATACTCACCTTCAGGTCAGGGCACCACAGAGGACAATGCATGGAATCAGGCTTTCAACTCTGGAGCCACCCATTCTCCTGTGTTTCTTAGACCCTGCATCTTACCTCTCGGGGAGAAGTCTCATGCCTGCTGTGCAAAGTATATAAAGGGGGGTCTCCTTGTGCTTCTTCACAGGCACATGAGCAGCAGCAAAGCTCAACAGAGGACGAAGGTAATCGCTGGCATGTTCTGGAGTGTCTGCCATTGCGGAGATTCCTTAAGTAAAAGAAAATACTTCCTTTAAAGATCTGATCACATAGGGCCTCCCCTGGTGGCACAGGTGGTTGAGCGCAGTGCTGTGAAGCTGTCTGCAGCCTCTGCAGTGCTGGTTCGATCCCAGGTGGCCAGTGAGGGTCCCACATGGTGCGGCAGACCTCTCCTGTCTTGTCCGCTGCTCCCCTCAGCAGTGTATTTCGTCAGTCTGCCTGTTCTGTTCCCTGCTCTGTCTCTGGTAAATCCTCTCACTCTCCCGCGCATCTGGCCTGTACCCTGGTTCTTGTATAAATAAATAAATAAATCTTTAAAAAAAAATCTGATCATATAGAAAACTGATACTCTACAAGATTCTGCTTACGGTCCTAAAGAGGGGGGTGGCAGTGAGTAAGATAACCCTCCCATTATCCAGAATCTCAAGAAGAAAATAACTTTCTCCCTTTTCTCCCCTCCCTCCCTCTCTCTCCTCCCCTCCTCTCTTATGCCTATAGCAACAAAAGCAGTCCATACTGAAATACACTGGTCAGTACCTGGCTTGATTTTTTTAACCACTGGTTGGCTGTTGCGGTCTCTCATCTGTTTGATGTCCAGCAAGTCATGGGGGTTGCCATTATGTCTAGGCCAGAAATAAACAAAAATCCGGGAGCCACTGCTGCCACAGTCTACCACAAGTCCATAACTGAGATTTGGGTCTTCAGTGTCAGTAGCTTCAAGATCCCCTACTCGAGCCAAATACCTAAGTGGGCAAAACCAGAAATCGGTGTTAAGAATTCAGGTCCAAAAAAAAAGGCGCCACCATTTAATTCATTTGTTCATGAATCCTCATGTGCCAGACACATGGGTTACATGTCCTCACCAAGGAATAAGACACTATCAGCCATGTGTACTAATATATAGGAGGCAACAGCTAATGTTTTACCTACAAGTCACTGAAATTAGATAACAAATACTTCTCCGTGTTCGAGGGCAGTTCCAAAACTGGGTGGGATAGCAAATTTTTTACCAAGCATTAAAGCACTTGTAGGGCTCAGTAAATAACTGGGTTTTGTAGTTATAAACTACTAAATTTTAGGGTAGTTTGTCAGGCATACTAGATAATTAGAAGGATCCTAATGATTTTTATCTATTTAGCCTTTCTATAGATAAGCATAAAGAATCTACAAAATTATAATAATTTAATGTATATCTCTGGGTTATGATTTTTTTTATTTTTTTTAAATATTTATTTATTTATACAAGCACTGGGTACAGTCAGACGTGCAGGAGGGTGAGAGAATTCACCAGAGCCAGAGCAGGGAGCAGAACAGGCAGACAGACGAAGTACACTGCTGAGGGGAGCAGCGGGCGGGAGGAGAGGTCTGCGCGCCATGTGGGACCCTCGCCGGGGCCAGGGATCGAACCGGCGCTACAGAGGCTGCGGGCAGTTTCGCAGCCCAGCGCTCAACCACTGTGCCACCAGGGGAGGCCCGTTATGATTTTTTTTTTTAAAGAGTAATTGATTTTATTTATTTAAAGATTTATTTATTTATCTATGCAAGCACTGGACACAGTCAGAAGCACGGGAGGGTGAGAGAACTCACCAGAGCCAGAGCGGGGAGCAGAGCAGGCAGAAGGACCGAAGTACACTGCTGAGGGGAGCAGCGGGCGGCAGGAAGGGTCTGCGCACCATGTGGGACCCTCCTCCGTGGCCAGGGAGCAGCTGGGGATCAAACCGGCGCTGCAGAGACTGCGGGCAGCTTCGCAACCCAGCGCTCAACCGCTGCGCCACCGGGGAGGCCCCGTTATGATATTTTTTTAAAGATAAGCATATAAGAACTGCGGTGCAGGCCATAGGTGCAGGGGGTGAGATGATTCACCAGAGACAGAGTAGGGAGCAGAACAGGTGGATCTACTGAAATACACTGCTTAGGGGAGCAGTGGGAGAGATAGGAGAGGTCTGCTGTGCCATGTGGGTCAGCTCCCTGGCCAGGGATCGAACTCAGCCGCAGTGGCTGGCCATAACTTAGGAGCACTGAGACTTAACTCCTGTGTCATCAGGGAGGCCTGTTTATGATTTTTTTTTTATAAATTCCAACATCCATTGTGTTTTTATTTTTTTAAACATTTATTTTTTATTTATTCATGCATACAAGAACAGGGGTACAGGCCAGATGTGTGGGAGGGTGAGAGGATTCACCAGAGACAGAGCAGGGAACAGAGCAGGCAACTGACTGAAATACACTGGTGAGGGGAGCAGCAGGCGTGACAGTAAAGGTCTGCCATGCCATGTGGGTATCTCCCCGGCCAGCCGGGATCAAACCCGCACTGCAGGGGCTGCAGACAGCCTCACAAGATGCACTCAACCGCCTGCGCCACCAGGGAAGCCCTGGTTATGATATTTTTTATGGGGCCTTTTGCTTTTCTCTTTAAGCCAGAATTGCATTAAGAAAAAATATATTTCATTTAAAATTTATGATGTTTTCTATAATCTTCTAAAATATTTTATAGCTATAAACAATGTTCATAAAATATGTATAGGCCACAAAGAATAACTACATAACACTGCTGTGTACCCAACATCTGGTTTAAAAACCAAATATTATACTGTTAAAAAAAAATTATTCGAGACCCTAAGACATTAATACTTTGTGTTGGAATTTTTTTCAGATTCTTATTTCAGGATATCTGACAGCTAGAAGAAACAAGATGTTACCATCAAAATAGAATCTCAGCTCTAGCACTTTCTATGTTGTGTGACCCTCAGCAAATGAGGTACCTTCTCTCAGGCCATTTCCCCATCTGTAAACAGAATAGTCAGAGAGTCCACCCTCAGAGAGACAAGGCAAGCCAGCAGTTAGCACAGCGTGATAATTTCTGGGGAAGCAAGCAGCAGCCGACTCTCTGGAGAAAAGGGTTGGAAATATCAGAAAGGAAAGAAGGCTAAGAGGCAGTAGATGCTACTGGGCCTTGAGGCTTTAACTAACATTAAAGCTCTCAGAGTACAAGGGGCTGAAAAACACAAACAAAGGCTTCAGTTGAAGAGGATCCCAGAGAGAACAGCTCTTAGCTTAATAAACAGGAGAGCTCTTCTTTGGAAACAAGAAGACATACTGCATGGTAAACAGATAAAGATTTCTCTTCTACATGCTTTTAAATTTGAGCAAATATCAAAAAAGCAAATATAGGTTGAGCTAATAACTGAATAAATGCACTGAAAGTAATGCTGTGGGATTCTGGCAAGTATTATAGCTTAACTCCCTTCCTTCTAAGACACCTGCCCTACTGATCCATTACTATCTTTAGCTCTAATGCCTAGATGCCCAAGAATCTTACCAAGAGCCTAAAGCTAATCCAACTTGGGGTGGAGAGGACTGAAGGTGGGTGGAGGCTTCTTTAAAAAAAAAAAAGATTCAACATTACTAATACATGAGCAGGCCCACGCCAGCGAGGGGCCTCAAAGCGCAGTATAGGGCCTCCCCTGGTGGCGCAGCAGTTGAGCGCTGGGCTGAGAAGCTGCCCGCAGCCTCTGCAGCGCCAGTTCGATCCCCGGCTGCCGGCGAGGGTCCCACATGGCGCGCAGACCTCTCCTGCCACGCCCGCTGCTCCCCTCAGCAGTGTACTTCGTCTGTCTGCCTGTTCTGCTCCCTGCTCTGGCTCTGGTGAATTCTCTCACCCTCCCGCACTTCTGACTGTACCCAGTGCTTGTATAAATAAATAAATCTTTAAAAAAAAAAAAAGCGCAGTATCATCAACTTCTCTGCAGATCTTCCCACACACACATACATACCCCCACCATCACATCCTGGCCTCTGCTTGCCGACTTCACATTGCTATGGGATGACAAAGGTCCTGATTTTACACAGAAAAGCAAATCTGATGAAAAGGAGAGCATGTAGAAGCAGTTCTGAAAGCAAAAGATAAAGCTATTCTAGCACACAATGCTTTTTATTTTTAAATGAAGAGATCAGACACTGGGCTTCAGTATACTGCTATAAGTTACAGCATAGAGTATGTTCAGGCAGAACTTCTTCCTGGATCTGGAATGAGAGTGAGTTATGGGAAATAAACAGGTGGTAAAAATCTGTTACAAAGTTTACAGTCCTAAAGATTCCATTTCACCTCGCACTTCCCCACTCTAATCAAATTAATGGAGGAAACCAGTCTCAAGATCCACCAATGAGCTTCCAACAGCTCACTTCTATCACACGAAAGCTGGGCAGACATCGGGTTCATGTTACAGAACTCTCGCCAATACTGATCTCGCAAGATGCCACAGATGATAAAGAAATAGGCAGGATAATCCACCTCTAGTCCAGAGTGACTGCATTTCCCATCCCAGCAATTTTTCTGCCTCACAGATCTTTCTCTGAAAATCATCCCTCCACTTCTTTTTTAAAAAATATATTTTATTTTATATAATTCTTATATCATTTTTCATTTTTGCACAGTGTATGCCTTTTCATTTTGGCTATATACCCCATACAATTCCCACCCCCCTTATTTTGACCCCAATCCCTCCTCTCCTCCCCACCCCCAGTGTGTCTCTGGTTTATAGTTGCTTGTTGATTTTGATTTTTTCTTTATTATAATTAGTCTTTTTCCTGGTCCCTTATTTAGGTTTTCTAAATTCCTGCTGTGAGTGGGACCATTTGGTATTTTCCTTTTTCTTTCTGGCTTACTTCGCTGAGTATGATCCCTTCCAACTCCATCCATGTTCCTGCAAATTGCATGAGTTTATCTTTTTTGATTGCTGAGTAATATTCCATTGTGTATATATGCCACATCTTCTTGATCCAGTCAGCTATTTTGGGGCATTTGGGTTGTTTTCATAGCTTAGCTATTGCAAATAGTGCTGCTATAAACATAGGGGTGCAGGTGCCCTTTTGAATTAATGTTTCTGTGTCCTTGTTCAACATCCTAACCCCTCTTGCTAAATGAATAACTTTTTCCTAGTGCATTGGTTCTCAAACTTTTGGGTTCAGGACCATTTTATACTCTTAAATATTATCAAACTCCAAAAAGCTTTTATACATATCTATATTTACCACATGAGAAAATGTCAAAGTATTTATTTAGATACAATAATAAACTCATTATAAGTTAACATGTTTTATGAAAAATAACTTTATTTCCAAAATAAAGAAAGAAAAGGAGCAGCGTTGTGTTACAGTTTTTCAATTCTCTTTAGTGTCTGGATTAACATTAGACAGAGTTTCACATTTGCTTCTGTGTTCAGTCTGTCACCATGTCATATTTCACATGGCTGAAGTATATGAAAATTCAGCTTTACATAGACATGTTGTTGGAAAAGGAAAGAGCACTTTAACAGTCTTTTTAGATCACTGTGGATATTCTTTGAAACTAAAACTCCACAGGCAGAGTTTTTAAAGGTCAGTCTCCATATGGACTCTAAAGCCCTCTCTAATAACTTATTATATTCTAACATTAAAACTACCATTTGTCTGTTTTGCACTTTGAGTGGTCTTTACCAATGCAAGATTTTGTGACATCTTATATTGACAAATATTAGTTCAATATTTCAACTATACAGATCTTTTTAATGTTGCACATTTCATTGTATATTAAAAATTCAGTAACATCACTAACAATCTGATGAAAAAAGTTTAAGCATTGAGAACCTATCAAACTCACCGTGGTAGACAAATTTTCCAAACTTCTAATTTTTATTTGAAAGTTCACATTTTATCCTTGGCAATAAACATTAATAACTGTTTTCCTTAAAGTAATTGACTTTTT